CCAAATGATTTGGTATGGCTGGCACTCTTGCTTCTCCCTCTCTTTAATTTTTAAAAAATACATATGTAAATTCACCCTAAGCATTTTTCAAAAGGAAGTATTGCAGCCTTTCTCCCCAAGGTTTAAATTGCATTGGCACAATTAAGGAAACCAGTGTTCCTCTTAATGGCAATTTGAACTCCCAGCAGTTAGCAGGTGATAATGTTTTGCTCCATGACCTGAAAAGCTTCCAGTCCTGGTTTCTGCATAACAAATCTCTCTTTAAATAGCTTGGAGCAGGTCAGTTGGCAGCCCCCTAATTTGGTTGACTGAGTCTCAGGGGGCAGGAACTGAGGTTTGTGTTACAGATTGTTGTTGTTTAGTCATTTAGTCGAGTCCGACTCTTTGTGACCCCATGGACCAGAGCACGCCAGGCACTCCTGTCTTCCACTGCCTCCCACAGTTTGCTCAGACTCATGCTGGTAGTTTCGAGAACACTGTCCAACCATCTCGTCCTTAGTCGTCCCCTTCTCCTTTCCCAAGATCAGGGTCTTTTCCAGGGAGTCTTCTCTTCTCATGAGGTGGCCCAAGTCTTGGAGCCTCAGCTTCAGGATCTGTCCTTCCAGTGAGCACTCAGGGCTGATTTCCTTCAGAATGGAGAGGTTTGATCTTCTTGCAGTCCATGGGACTCTCACAGATAGGTAGCCATTTTGGTCTGCCGTAGTCCAAACAAAAGAAAAAAATTCCTTCCGGTAGCACCTTAGAGACCAGCTAAGTTTGTTCTTGGTATGAGCTTTTGTGAGCATGCACACTTCCTCAGATACCAAGGGGTTTGTGGTTTGCCATCTCCTTGGTGGAATGCTTTAAATTTACATTCCATCTGATTCCTTTTAAACATCTTTTCTTTTTTTTAATTGACTGGTGGAGAGGCAGGTACTACCATCTACCCTGACGCTAGGACAGGTTTAGAGTTGCCAGCTACACTTCTGATGGAAACAATGTGCATTCCATGCCCAGAGGAGGATGGCAGAAGCCCTGGAGACCAAAAGCTTATTTTTTAACAAGTTGAAGGAGCTAGGTATGTTTAGCACGGGAGAAGAGATGATTAAGTGGCGATATGAGAGCTGTCTTCAAATATTTGAAGAGCTGTCACGTGGACTTGTCATTTTAGCCTACATAAAAAATATATATTCTGTCCTTCTTTGGCGATTACTCATAGCTGAGCAAGATCGTCTTTCATGAACACAGTCTTAACAGTGTGTCCGTAAGTGACTGTGGAGGCCAGTTCTTCCTGGTATTTAGTCAGAGATGGACTAATCTTTGCTAGAGGTTTTTAAACAGAAGGTGCTGCAGCGGCGCATTTCCTGCACTGATAGCGGGTTGTACTAAATGATCTTATGATGCGCTGCAGCTCTTCAGCAGAGCATCTGCAAGTGCATGCAGAAAGTCTCAAGTTCAACCGCTGGCATCTACAGGTAGGACTGGGAGTGACTCTTTTCTGAAAATAGGGACACGGGTGGCACTGTGGTCTAAACCACTGAGCCTCTTGGGTTTGCCAATCGGAAGGTCGGCAGTTCGAATCCCCGCAACGGGGTGAGCTCCTCTTGCTCTGTCCCAGCTCCTGCCAACCTAGCAGTTTGAAAGCACACCAGTGTGAGTAGATAAATAGGTACCACTGCAATGGGAAGGTAAACGGCATTTCCGTGCGCTCTGGCTTCTGTCACGGTGTACCGTTGCGTGAGAAGCAGTTTAGTCCTGCTGGCCACATGACCCGGAAAGCTGTCTGTAGACAAACACTAGCTCCCTCAGCCTGAAAGCAAGATGAGCGCTGATCCTTTACCTTTTTTTAAGTAAAGGTAAAGGGACCCCTGACCATAAGGTCCAGTTGCAGATGACTCTGGGATTGTGGCGCTCATCTTGTTTTACTGGCCGAGGGAGCCGGTGTACAGCTTCCGGGTCATGTGGCCAGCATGACTAAGCCGCTTCTGGCGAACCAGAGTAGTGCACGGAGACACCATTTACCTTCCCGCCAGAGCGGTACCTATTTATCTACTTGCACTTTGACGTGCTTTCAAACTGCTAGGTTGGCAGGAGCAGGGACCGAGCAACGGGAGCTCATCCCGTCGCAGGGATTCGAACCGCCGACCTTCTGATCGGCAAGTCCTAGGCTCTGTGGTTTAACCCACAGCACCACCCACATCTCTTTTAACTCCCAGATAGGCAGGAATTAAAACGCCTCCATCTTTTTCAGCATTTGGATGAAGTTGTGCCTATTGCAATGAACCTTGGTTGGCCAGCTGAGCAAATCCAATTAACTAATGGATGGATTAAAGCTGCCTGTTCTGTACTGCTCTAGCAGCACAACCCCATTCATGAATATCATCTCTGATGCCCACTTCTTTCCCTGTCAGGGTGAAACCCAGCTTGCATATTTTTCAATATTTCAAGAGTTTGCTAAGGAATCAGAGGCCATTCCTTTTACCAAAGCTCTTCCATCAGAAGTAATGGCTCCCCCTGCTGACAGTTATGAAGAATTACCACTGTTATTATATACTGTATTTACCTTATCTATCGTTCTTAAGTAGGACTGTCAACTTTTCTAACCCAGCAGCTTCAATGCTTTTATCACCTGCACAGCTAGCAGATATTCAGCAAGTGGAGCTTGTCCTAGCATGCAGTGGCTGGGGAAAGAAAGAAAAAAGCTTCAGTTGCTGGATTTCTGCTGGCTGTTTTGTAATGAGCACCTTATGCATTGACAGATTAAACCGTAACCTCATCTTTCTCCCACCCATCAACATTTCTTTCTGTTGTGCCTCATCATACAACCAGCCAGTCCACCCAGCTTGTGCTTTTGCCAGTTGCAGTAAGAAGTACTGTATCACATTTGCTCTCCAGTTAGAAGAGAAGAAATACTTGTTTTCTGGCATTTCATACTCCAGACAGACACTTGTCTAGTTTTTGCACCCCACCCTTTTTTAAACTCTGTTTTGGGGTACTTGCTTTGAGACGTGATGGTCAGGTACGAACAAATCCCAGTATACTGGTTCCTCCATCAGGGTTCACAACGAACATTTTTGGTGCTGATCTCTTCCCTTCACTCAGCCAAGAGGGGCTCAGGCTAAAAGAGCGTCTCTTAAGAAACCTCCTCTGACCCTCTCCCTAAGGAAGCTACTTCAGAATTTTTAAAAACGGCTTTTTATGGCTGGCTGACCAAACCCAAAGGGTGCTCATCAACGGTTCCTCTTCATCCTGGAGAAGAGTGACTAGTGGGGTGCCACAGGGTTCTGTCTTGGGCCCGGTCTTATTCAACATCTTTATCAACGACTTGGATGATGGACTCAAGGGCATCCTGATCAAATTTGCAGATGATACCAAACTGGGAGGGGTGGCTAACACCCCAGAGGACAGGATCACACTTCAAAACGTCCTTGACAGATTAGAGAACTGGGCCAAAACAAACAAGATGAATTTTAACAGGGAGAAATGTAAAGTATTGCACTTGGGCAAAAACAATGAGAGGCACAAATACAAGATGGGGACACCTGGCTTGAGAGCAGTACATGTGAAAAGGATCTAGGAGTCTTGGTTGACCACAAACTTGACATGAGCCAACAGTGTGACGCGGCAGCTAAAAAGCCAATGCAATTCTGGGCTGCATCAATAGGAGTATAGCATCTAGATCAAGGGAAGTAATAGTGCCACTGTATTCTGCTCTGGTCAGACCTCACCTGGAGTACTGTGTCCAGTTCTGGGCACCACAGTTCAAGAAGGACACTGACAAACTGGAACGTGTCCAGAGGAGGGCAACCAAAATGGTCAAAGGCCTGGAAACGATGCCTTATGAGGAACGGCTAAGGGAGCTGGGCATGTTTAGCCTGGAGAAGAGGAGGTTAAGGGGTGATATGATAGCCACGTTCAAATATATAAAAGGATGTCACCTAGAGAAGGGAGAAAGGTTGTTTTCTGCTGCTCCAGAGAAGCGGACACGGAGCAATGGATCCAAACTACAAGAAAGAAGATTCCACCTAAACATTAGGAAGAACTTCCTGACAGTAAGAGCTGTTCGACAGTGGAATTTGCTGCCAAGGAGTGTGGTGGAGTCTCCTTCTTTGGAGGTCTTTAAGCAGAGGCTTGACAACCATATGTCAGGAGTGCTCTGATGGTGTTTCCTGCTTGGCAGGGGGTTGGACTCGATGGCCCTTGTGGTCTCTTCCAACTCTATGATTCTATGATTCTATGCCAGGGTCAAATATGCTTAAAGCCACGTCACCATTGCTCCGAAATATGTGGTTAATCAGATCCAAGGCGACACAACCTGAAGATGCTCAGAGAGACACTTGAAATTAAATAATAATAATAAAAATGTCCAGTAGCACCTCCAACCAAGTTTGTTCTGGTAATAAACTTTCGTGTGCATACACACTTCTTCAGAAAGACACTTGAGATCATCTTGGGCCAGGATCAGACCCAGCTCTGGTGCTCTTTCTTTCTTTCTTTCTTTCTTTCTTTCTTTCTTTGAATAACAAAGAGTTGGCCCTGGTGGGAGTGTCAGGGGGAAAGAACAGAAGTCAAATGCATGGATTCTAGGAGAGGTCGTTCCACTAGCAGGATATACCTGGTGTGGGGAGTGGGGACTTTTCATGGAAGTATTTTTACTGGTAGGCTTCTTCTACTCAATAGGTTTTTTTGGGGGGGGGCTTACCAAGTTCCCCATTCCCCCGTCGTTGAAATGGTTTCTTCCACCTGTAGCTTCACGCCCACTCTTCTCTCGGGACGCGAAGGCAATTTGCCCCCGTTTTTCTTCCGCCTTCATGAGGGCTAGCAGCGCGCAAGTTCAGCATCCTTTGGTTCCTTCCACGCATCGCTCCCCCTTAAGTCTTTGGAGGTGTTGATGCTGCCGAGCTCCTCTTCCTTCCTTCCCTCCCCCCACTTGTAGGGTTTTGTTTGGGACTGGCGCTGGGAACGGGGGTAGTTGGTCAACCCAAGGAGCCAGTCCGCTTTACCGATCGCCTGTTGCAGAAATGCTGGAGCGCAGAGACGGCGCGAGTGCCGACGTCCAAAGTGGAAATTTTGCAAAGGCTGCAGGAGGTCCTGAGCGGAAAGATCTTGAGGTACAGCAGTGTTGGGGGACGTGGGCAAGCCTTAAGCTCTCTCTTTGCCCTGGGTGGTCTTCAGGAGGTTGAAATGGGCAGAAAATGAGACACTCTTAACCCAGCGACAGAACATCTGTTCTGCATTCAGTAGGTCTCATCTCCAGGCAGGGTTAGATTCTACTTCTGAAATCCAGGAGACCCAGAACTGCCAGTCAGTGTAGACAGTTACAAGGACCAATGGTCTAACTCGGTATATAAAACAGCTTGGGAAGCCAAATTCCTGTCCCCTCAGCAGCATCCACACAATTGCACCCAATGAGTTGAAAAGTTTGTGGGATTGGGTCAGATGGATTCAAGATTTCAAGCACAAATCTGCCACCCCTGAAATTTCCCCTTTTTTCTTGTCTCCAGAGAGTTTTGTGGCAGCTTTAAAAGACCAGCTGATTTACTACCACATAAGCTTGTGTGTGATATTCTAAAGGTAGATCTTTTTCTTGCCAATTGCATGTAGAAGTGGGGCCACGAAGCTTAAATGCTTAAAAGCCCGCATCCTAGCTGTGGCAGCTATTGTGGAATAATAGATCTGGAAAAGAGGTGTATAATTGCATGTATTTTACCTAGTTGGCTTATTATTCTTGGCCGCCTAGTCATTTTGTCTCTCCCTTCCTTACAGTTGAAATTTAGATTAACTTCCTCACTGAAGGAACCCACGTTTATTTGTTTGTTTGTTTATATTAAATTTGTATACCTCCCTTCATCCATGGATTTTAGGGCAGTTCACAGCAGCCATGATTAGTCTGCAAAATGCCAAATACTTATATAATAATAAATAATAATAATAAATTATTATTTCTACCCCGCCGTTCCCAGTTTAAAAACCAGGCTCAGGGCGGCTAACAGCAAATATAAAACATTGATTAAAATGTGATTTAAAAACAGCATAAAAACAACATAAAATACAACATAAATGCAGCCTCAGTGTCAATAAAATTCAAAAATTCAGGGGTCATTTTTTTTGGGGGGGGACCCTAGTCAGTAGACATCAAATGATCACCAGGGCTAACTGGCCAAGTTGGTCCTACTAGGGCCTTCAAGGAGACCAGGGAAGAATTTAAATGGGGGGGTCCCAGAAAGGTTTTCTTCATAGAAGAGGAAAGGGAAAAGGGAATAGAGGATCAGGCTAATTCAAATTGAAGGCCAGGCGGAATAGCTCTGGCTTACAGGCCCTGCGGAAGGAGATCAAGTCCTGGAGGGCCCTGGTCTCATGGGACAGAGCATTCCACCAGGTCGGAGCAGTCACTGAAAAGGCCCTGGCCCTGGCGGAGGATAGTCTGGCTTCCTTAGGGCACATTTCTTGGTGAATATTATCATCAACATCTTTATTGCTAATATTAGTGTAGTTGGGGTGCCCAGCCATGAACGATATCTTCAGAAATCCGAAAATGAGGAATCACAGAATTGTAGAGTTGGAAGGGGTGCCAAGGGTCATCTAGTCCAACCCCCTGCGATGCCTCTTAAATTAAGTACACAGGAAGCTGCCTTTAAACTGAATCAGACCATTGGTCGTCTAGCGCAGGATTGCCTACACTTACAGGAAGCAGCTCTTCAGACAGGGAGTCTCTCTCAGCCCTGACTGGAAATACCGGGCATTTGAGCCTGAGACTTTCTACCTGCCAAGCACTTGCCCTACTGCTCAGCTGAGGCCTTTCCTATTTTATTTTATTTTTTCATTTCAAAACAATTTTTTTTTTTTTACAAACATCAAATTCAAAATCCATTTTCATTTTCTGACATAAGCCTATTACATAGATTACCTAAATTAAAATATATCTAATTGCTCTAGGCTTCCCTTTGCTATATGTAAATACAACGCAATTAACAAATTATATTATAAACGATATTATAGGTTCCCATATACCCCCCACTCCCCTTCACCCATGTGTGATCTCAATATTTTACTTCTTCCAGCTTGTTGTGTTGTTATAATTTAATAATTATTCAATTGATTCTATTATTATTTTCTTACTTAACCCTGCACGTTTTACACATTCTCTATTAATATTTCAATTCCGGGACTGTATTTTTTCATGTATTCCTTCACTCCATCCCACTCTCTAATTATTCTCTGATTTGAGTGGCCTCTAATAATTGCCGCCAATTTTGCCATTTCTACAAACTCACAGAGTTTGTTTTGCCATTCTAATAATGATGGGATTTTCTCCCCCTTCCAGTTTTTTGCAATCAATATTCTGGCAGCTGCTGTTGCGTAAAGGAATACACTTTTCTCATCTTTGGGAATGTCATTGGATATTAGGCCTAGCAGCCTCTGGCTTTTTTTAAAAGAAATCTTAAATCTCCCTATTTGTTAACTGAGCTGCTGTTAAAGTTTTTCAATGTTTTATACACATTCCAAACTTAATCGCTCCACAAAATATTGGGCCGGGTGGTGGCGAAAAGAGAGGAAGCGGCGGGAATCTGGAATATCCAAGATTATATATCTCCCAATTTGAGAGTGCAGAACATCGTTCTCTTTCTGCAGACCAACTTCAATGAATCTCAGCCCCCAAGCGGCAGAAGAAAAATGGACACAGCTGCTGAGCAGCACCCTGAGGTAAGACAGGAGAGGAAGGGTGTGCAGGGTCAAGGTTTTTGTGCACTGATAGGATCGGGGCTCATCTATGCTGTCATTCCATGCAAACAGTAAGCTTTCTGTACCTCCATTATCTCTTGTCCATATGGTGGTCCTCTAAATCCCTGTCTTCCCATGCTTTCCTCACTCCAGATTCTCTCATCTCCTAACCTTTTTGGCATATCCTTGGCATGAGAAAATCTGGATTGAAGGGGGGGGGGGAATATGGGAAGGCAGGGATTTGGAAGAGAACATCATGCGGACGGCAGGAAATTGATGGGTGTGCAAGAAACTTACTGGCCACATTAAAGGACAACATGGAGGAGCCCTTAGGGCTGGGCAATCACTGCAATGAACAAGTCAGACTATTGGTCCAGATAACTATCATCTATGGTGGCGCTGTGGCCTAAACCACAGAGCCTAGGGCTTGCCGATCAGAAGGTCGGCGGTTTGAATCCCCGTGACGGGGTGAGCTCCCGTTGCTCGGTCCCTGCTCCTGCCAACCTAGCAGTTCGAAAGCACGTCAAAGTGCAAGTAGATAAATAGGTATCGCTCTGGCGGGGAGGTAAACGGCATTTCCGTGTGCTGCTCTGGTTCGCCAGAAGCGACTTAGTCATGCTGGCCACGTGACCCAGAAGCTGTCTGTGGACAAACGCTGGCTCCTTCGGCCTATAGAGTGAGATGAGCGTGCAACCCCAGAGTTGTCCACGACTGGACCTAATGGTCAAGGGTCCCTTTACCTTTACTAAATACCATCTACCTGGACTGGCAGTGGCTGTCCAGGATTCCAGGTAGGGAACACTCCCAGGCCTACCTAGAGATGCTAAAGGCAGAACCTTGGAGCTGCAGCCCTTCAGGTCTACTCAGAAGTAAGCTCCATGTAGTTCAAGGGGACTTATTCCCAGGCAAGTCTTAACAGGACTCGCATCTGAGTAGATCCATCTACGTAAGACAAAACACACAAGTTGTTTGTTCAGGACTAGGTGTCTCATGACGCTGGTTGCTGGCAGCATTTTTCAGATCAGTGAACATGTTTTTGGGGATGGGGAGGTGATAAGATCAGGGCTATAGCCACTCTTTCTGCTCATGACTGCCATGTGTTTATATGGAGATCTGAACATAGTATATGCACCTGAACCTATATAGGGCCTTCCATATGTTTGGGCCAAAACTCCCATCAGCCCTCACGGTGGTGGTTGTTGTTTTGAAGTTTCTTTCTTTCTTTCTTTCTTTCTTTCTTTCTTTCTTTCTTATTTATTTATTTATACATTTCACTAATTTTACAATCATTTTGACATTTCAAAACTTGACTTCCTTCCCCCTCTTTTCTGCGGTTCCTTAAATTTAATTTTAATATCTTCTGCATATCCAGATTAACTTAATTCACTCAGTTATTCATCGTCTTTAAATATATACTCTTATAAAACTGCAGGTTGTTACAATGATCCTGCCAATGTTTTTATCTGTTTATCTGTTAAATATTCAAGAAACCATTTCCATTCTTTTGTAAAAGATTTGTTATCTTGATTTTTTATTCTTCCGCTGGGGTGATGGCAGTTGGGATCCAAGAAATTCTGGAGGACATTAGGTTGAGAGCAAGTCAACATTAGTAGGAAGTCAACAACATGCTTTTCTGATCATTCCATCAGTGCAAGCATTCCTCTTTGTGCCCTGTTCTGGCCTCTCTCTTAACACACACTGAGAGAGAACCAATTTTGGGGGCACCAACTGGTGAGGAAGGAAACCCCATTGTGCAAGCAGAAATCCCTGCTCAGGGCTTCAGCTGATGTGACTCCTTAGGTAGGTTTATTAGCAAAGCAAGTCCTACCCAGATTGGAAGGTTGGCGGTTCGAATCCCTGCAACAGAGTGAGCTCCCGTTGTTCTGTCCCAGCTCCTGCCAACCTAGCACTTTGAAAGCACGCCAGTGCAAGTAGATAAATAGATACCGCTGTGGCAGGAAGGTAAATGGTGTTTCCGTGCGCTCTGGTTTCCGTCACGGTGTCCCGTTGCGCCAGAAGCGTTTTAGTCCTGCTGGCCACATGACCCGGAAAGTTGTCTGTGGACAAACACTGGCTCCCTCGGCCTGAAAGCGAGATGAGTGCTGTAACCCCATAGTCGCCTTTGACTGGACTTAACCGTCCAGCCTGCACCTCTGAACTGTACACCTGAACTAAGCCCACCTGGATGTGGGAGGGACTGGACTGCAGGCATTCTTCCTCTCCCACCACCTGCCCTTTTGAGTCTAAAAACACAGTGCTGATTTTTGGGCTCTTTTTCCTCTGCTTTAGGGGCCTACAATCTTTGAAGAGGTATCTGTGGTTCTCATGGAAGAAAAGGAGTTCACCTTGGACCCCCACCTGCTTGCCCTCAGTGGGAATAACATCCAGCAGTATTGCACCATGCTGTCCTGGCTGGGTAAGTCTTGCATATTCCAACAACAACAACAACAACAATTTATTTATACCCTGCCCATCTGGCTGGGCTTCCCCAGCCACTCTGGGCGGCTTCCAGCAAAATATTAAAATACAGTAATGCATCAAACATTAAAAGCTTCCCTAAACAATTACAATTTATGAAGCATTTCTCCCAGCCATGCAGTTTGGTTTCACAACAATCCTGTGAGGTAGGTTAATTGGAGCGATCGTGGTTTTCCCCAGAGCTGAATTTAGGTTTGATGAGGCCCTAAGCAACTGAAGGTAATGGGGCCCTTTATATGTCCAGCTGTCCTTTGTCAACAACAAATTGTTGCTGTTTTTTGGTGTTGAGTATATGCTATCTGGTAATTTATGGACCTAATAGGTATCTAAAGCCATTTGCACATGTTGCCATGGAACCAGTCCATGCATAATGTAGGCACCCTATATCTAGAAATGAGCAAACCAGTGATATTTTAGGGAGCAGGCTAGCAGGCGGGGCCCATTACTTACCTCAATCATAGGAGCCTACCAACACAAAACACTGTTGCTGTATGTAGGTTTTATTTTATTTGTTTTTTATCTTATATTTTGGAAATGTACATCCAGTCCCCCCCCCATATTTTTTGGGGGGCCCCCAAGAGAGTGGGGCCCTAAGCTGTAGCTTGTTTAGCTTATATGTAAATCCACAGCGCGTTTCCGTGTGCTGCTCTGGTTTGCCAGAAGCGGCTTAGTCATGCTAGCCACATGACCTGGAAGCTGTACGCCGGCTCCCTTGGCCAATAAAGCGAGATGAGTGCTGCAACCCCAGAGTCTGTCACGACTGGACCTAATGGTCAGGGGTACATAACTCTCATCTACCTAGACTGGCAGTGGCTGTCCAGGATTTCAGTAAGGGTCAGGGGTCCCTTTACCTTTACTGGCTCACTGGGAAAACTGCAGAAATTCATATAGACATGTGAGCTCAGCTACTCAGCAGCCCCTCTGCCTGAGTGATAATTCCTGGCATCCTGATACCTGAGTGCCAGACAGGTAGCCATTCCAGAAATAACAAACCCAGATGAAGACAAAAGGGTGTGATTAACTTGGCTGGGAAACAGGGAAATGTAAATATCTCTTTTGTTACACTTGATGGGTGTTTGGTGGAGGGCAAGGAGAACCATGGGGCAGGGTCCAGGATGCTCAGATTACTGCCACCAGACCTCCCCTTTCATGATGTATTAGTGATGTATTAGTGATGTAGTTGGGGGGGTGTAACATGGGGATTAGCAGCTAATAAAAGTTTGGGGGCTCTTTTGTTCTGGGTTTCCATCTTTCTTCGTCTTGCAGTGAGTTGGAGTCCTGTCGTGACAGTCTCAATAAAGACCAAGCCTACTGGCTGCTGTTTTGCTCCGGTATTCCTGGCTGGTGTCCTTGTTTTTTGTCCAAGGGAGCCCTCAGATTTCTCCATTAACAGTTGTCAACATAAATGCAGCAAAGACAACCAACCCCACCCACCAAATATAAAAGCATGTCTTTTCATAAGCAGTGGCGTCACTCTCACTTTCACTACTGTCTCCCCAATTTAAGCTTATGTCAAAAGGCATTGCAAAATTCCACCCTCCTCTTGCCTGCAGTTCCCACCCAGTACTGTACTACTGGAGATGCAGAACAGCTGCAGGAATATGCGTGGATATCAAGAAAGGGAAAAGGTTCTTCCTCCCCATGACAAATCAAGAAAAGGAAGCCACAATGATCCATAATGAATGGGAAAAAATGTTTAAAAGTACTTCCCCCCCCCCCAAAAAAAACCCCAGAGTCCTTTTCTGTTGAGGATAATTCAGACTGAAATTTCCAGGTGTTAAAAAAGGTTATTTACATATGCCATTACTGTGGCCCGTGTTTTGTTAGCCCCAAAATGGAAAAGGAACGAGGTCCCAACCAAAGAAGAGTTAGCAATTTAAGTTGATAGAATATGCTCAGCTTGCAGACTTAACATATAGAATAAGAGAACAAGAAGAACATACATTTAGAGAAGATTGGAAGACGTTTATTGAATATATGGGAAATAACTGTGTACAGCTGAAAGCCCTGGCAGCATTCAGATAAATTCAACAGTGTAAATAAGTTACGATGGATGTAATAATGGAATACTGAATGGTACTGTTTCTGTAAAAAATGCAAGGATTTATGATATGTAAAATGAACCATGGAAAGAGCAGAAGCGAAGTCACTGATATCTTAAGGATGTAAAAATAAGTACTTTAAATTATAAAACAGAGAATTTAATAAAAAAAATTATGTACAGTGGTACCTCAGGTTACACAAGCTTCAGGTTACATACGCTTCAGGTTACAGACTCCGCTAACCCAGAAATAGTGCTTCAGGTTAAGAACTTTGCTTCAGGATGAGAACAGAAATCGTGCTCCAGCGGAGCAGCGGCAGCAGGAGGCCCCATTAGCTAAAGTGGTGCTTCAGGTTAAGAACAGTTTCAGGTTAAGTACGGACCTCTGGAACGAATTAAGTACTTAACCTGAGGTACCACTGTATATAAAAAAGGAAACCACAAGAATAAGTGGTGCAAATTCACCCTAAGCATGTTGACTCAGAAGTAAGCCCTCTTTGAGATTAGTTGGTCACTTCTTGCCAAATATTCACGGATGTTAGGTTTTTTAAAAATGTAATCCTGCAGTATTATATTTTGAAACTAGGTCATTTCTGAGTTTGGGGGCAGGTGGGAGTTATAGTCGACAACATCTTTGAGGGCACCAGATTGAGGGGTGCTAACCAGCAGCCGTTCTCCATGGTTTCAGGCTCAGATATTTCTCATCACCTGCTACTCCTAGACCCCTTAGCTGAAGATGGTAGGAATTGAACTTTTGACATTTTCAGTGAAAAGCATGTGGTCTGCCGCTAAGCTATGTCTGCTGTAGCAGAGAGTGAGCTGAACCTCTCCTAAGATTTTCGTTCTCTCTCTTTTGTTCTCTGGCTGAACAGAATTGAAGAATCCCAAGCCTGAAATTTACTTCGAGATGGAACAAGGCCTCATGTTGCCCCTCTCGCTGGCCCATATTGTCGAGGAGTTTGAGGTTTTGCCGTGCTTATCCCAAGGTGAGGAATGGCGTGTTCGTCCCTGAACAAAGCGGCCGAGCAGGTCGCCCACATGACAGATGAGGAGAGTGAGGTAGAAATGCAGAGATGCTTAATTGTTCCACACTGAGAATCAATTCAAATGGACAGAGAATATTTGGTACAGTCCGGTCCTCCCAGAGCTGTACGGTGGTACCTCAGGTTACAAACGCTTCAGGTTACAGACGCTTCGGGTTACAGACTCCACTAACCCAGAAATAGTACCCCGGTTTAAGAACTTTGCGTCAGCATGAGAACAGAAATTGCACAGTGGCGGTGCGGCGGTAGCGGAAGGCCCCATTAGCTAAAGTGTTACCTCAGGTTAAGAACAGTTTCAGGTTAAGAACGGACCTCCAGAACGAATTAAGTTCTTAATGTACTACTGCGAGAGGTTTGCTTGTAATTTGTAACGATAGCGAGTGGTACCAGGGTGTGTCGCAAACACGTTACAATTAAAACAGGTACAGTTTAAATCCTAAAATAAAATCACAAACAACCAAGGGCAAAGTAGTGAAACAAACAGGTTGGTGCGAGGATTGCGTATTTGAACATTCACCTTTATAACAAGAACGCCCCGCACACAGAAATATAGCTGGTCAGGGTGAAGGCAAGGCCAAAGCCCATTTCCATTTGTGTGTGCTTGTGCAAGTGTGTGCAAAGTAGCCCTTAGGATTCTTTGCACCTTTTAGAATTCTGCAATTCTATTTAAAACAAAAAAAGTCTAAACAAGACTACTGTGTAGACACCCTCATTAATTTCAATAGGTCTATGCTGAGTGGGACTATTAGAAATCCTTGAGCTATTATTGCCTTCTGGGTGGAAAGGAGAGCAGTTGAAAGAGCTGGGTATGTTTAGCCAAAGATTTAAGGCAGGTGTGGTGGGAAACCTTTGACCCTCCAGATGTTGCTGAACTCCCATCAGTCCTAGCAAGCATGGCAAGGGATGATGGGAGTCGTGGTCCAGCAACATCTAAGAGCAGCGTTTCCCAGACTTGGGTCTCCAGCTGTTTTGGACTACAACTCCCATCATCCCTAGCTAACAGGACCAGTGGTCAGGGATGATGGGAATTGTAGTCCAAAAACAGTTGGTGACCCAAGTTTGAGAAACGCTGATCTAGAGGACTGACCTCAGACCTGATTTAAGGAGAGACATGGCAGCGGTCTTCAAGTATCTAATGCGGGGTAGGCAAACTAAGGTTCGGGGGCTGGATTCAGCCCAATCGCCTTCTAAATTTGGCCCGCAGACAGCCCGGGAATCAGCGTATTTTCACATGAGTAGAATGTGTCCTTTTATTTAAAATGCATCTCTGGGTTGTTTGTGGGGCCTGCCTGGTGTTTTTACATGAGTAGAATGTGTCCTTTTATTTAAAATGCACCTCTGGGTTATTTGTGGGGCATAGGAATTCATTCATATATTTTTTTCCAAAAATAGTCTGCCACCCCACAAGGTCTGAGGGACAGTGGACTGGCCCCCTGCTGAAAAATATAGTAATAATAATAATAATAATAATAATAATAATAATAATAATAATAATTTATTATTTATACCCCGCCCATCTGGCTGAGTTTCCCCAGCCACTCTGGGCGGCTCCCAATCGAAACAATACAGCATTAAATATTAAAAACGTCCCTAAACAGGGCTGCCTTCAGATGTCTTTTAAAGATAGGATAGCTGCTTATTTCCTTTATATCTGAAAGGAGGGCGTTCCACAGGACGGGTGCCACTACCGAGAAGACCCTCTGCCTGGTTCCCTGTAACCTCACTTCTCGCAATGAGGGAACCACCAGAAGGCCCTCAAAGCTGGATCTCAGTGTCTGGGCTGAACGATGTGGGTGGAGACGCTCCTTCAGGTATACAGGACCGAGGCCGTTTAGGGCTTTAAAGGTTTGCTGACCCCTGAGCTAAAGAATTGTTTTCAGTGGCTCCAAAGGGTGGGTCTAGAACTAATAGGTGGAAATGGAAAGCAAGCAAATTTTGACTCGAAAATGGGAAGAGCTTTTCATCCGCAGAAGAGAGGCTGCCATGGGAGGTGATAATGGATCCTTCATCACTGGTGGTATTTAAGCAGAGACTGTCACAGGGATGCCATAGTTTCAGATTCCTGTGCTGGGCAGAGGGCTGGACTACATTAGGGCTGGAGGACCCTACAAATGCTGCTGAACTACAACTCCCATCATCCCAGGTCATTGACCAGGTTGGCTGAGACTCATGGGAGCTGCGGTCTGACCACCTCTGGAGGACCACAGCTTTCCCATCCCTCATCCAGCTCCCCCACTGTTATACATTTTGTGTTTTAATAGGCAGATCTGCCTCTGGCATGCTTTATGCCCAAGGCTGGATTCTTGCTCTGTTTTCAGAACTGGGTCACGCTGACTCATTCCTGTATTTCCTTGTTCTCCAAGCAGACAACAGGACACTGCAGACCTCGGAGCCCGAATCCCCGCAGCAGGAGAGTGCTGCCGTGCCGCTGGTACGACTGCAGTATAATTTTGTGCCCAAATTGGAAGGAGGCGTCCTCCAGGGGAAACCTTCGGCCGGCAGGACCGTTTCAGAGATCCAGCAGGGGACTGGCCTTCAGGCGAGGAGCGAGGAGCCCGTTTCCTCTGGAAAAAACCCTGGCAAGCCTCCAGAGGTGCCGAGAGATCATTCCGATGGGGAAGGACTGGTGGGACGTTTACAGCAGGAAGGCTCCCGGCAGCCGACTGCAATGTGCTTTGCCGCAGCGACCGTTTCGCAGGGATCTGAACGGAGCGATGACCGAGACGTTGCTGGGCCGAACCTGCTTCTGAGAGAGGGAGGGCATCGCTGCAGCGGCACTGCTGAAGAACCCACCATCCACGCAAGGAAAGGAACTTCTCACCTCTGCGGCAATGCCAGGGAATTCATCGACAAGCCGTTGTCTTTCCAGATTCGTGAGGGAGCTTGTACCAGAGAGGGATGTCTCTTGGGTCCCAGAGAGGGAGGCAAACCCGCTCTGAAGCTAAACCCCACTGCCCCCCGGCTGGTGCCCCCTGAGCAGACCCACAAAGGCCCGGACGGCAGACCCCCTGTTAGTTTTAGCGCAGCCAGCCTTTCCGCACACCAGAAAACCTTCACAGGTGAGCGGCAGAAACTCTTCAGCCCACTTGGCCTCCAGGGCCTTCCCAGCCCGGCAGGAGACATGGTAGAAAAACCATTCAAGTGTCCTGACTGCGGGAAGGGCTTCTTGCACCGATCAAGCATTCCCAGACACCAGAATCTGCGTTGCTTGGGCTCCCTGCCCCATCAGAAGAGTCCCTGCGGGGAGAAGTCCCTTCGTGGCCCTGGCAGTGGGATGGGCTTGATCGAAAGAAAGCAGTGCAGCGCTTGCAAGCAACTCTCCTTCCCAGCTCCGGGGGTTCAGAAGAACCGGGCAGCTGGCGAGAAACCCTTCCGCTGCCCCGACTGCGGCAACACGTTCACCGAGAAGTTTTCGATGATCCGGCACCAGGCGCTGCACCAAAGCGAGAAGCCCTTCAAGTGTCCCTGCTGCGACAAAAGCTACACCCAGAGGTACCATTTGAAGAGGCACCAACAGATGAAGCACGCGGCGATTGCCTGATATCAGAGGACAGCTTTGGCCCCGTGTCCTTTCGTTGTGGAGCTCATGAGAATTGTCCGTGTTAGGCTATGGTTTCGTTCCACCTTAAAAGGAACAGGCATGACTGTTGTGTGTCACATGCCTGTCTCTGTGGCTTCCCACTTTGTGGAGTCGAAACATATACCGTCATGTGATGGACAACAATCCCATGACTGCAGTCGTGGAGCAGGAATTCTAACAGCCCAGGGAACACAGCTCTCTCTCTTTTCTCCACTACCAGAGTGGAGAGCATGAATACTTTCATCAGAGTCCTCCAGCCTGAGCCCGTCCTTCCTGAGATAGGGGAAGGGGGCCTTCCTGGAGGTTCCTGGACTTCAACTCCCATCAGCCTCAGCCAGCATGGCCAGCATTCGGGGATGGTGGGAGCTGCAGTCCAGCAAATGTCCAGAGGGCCAGAGGTGCCTGCCTCTGATCATTGCTAGCATCCTTCAATCTCCACTTAAATTTCTGTCTTTTTGTGGGGGGGTGGGGTGGGGAGAAGTCAAGGAATCTGCCCATCAACCTGCCGGAAACAGCACCTGTTCACTTCAAGGCTGATCTGGACCCTCTAGACTTTGGGATTATTTTCCTCTCCGAGGCAGGAGGCTTCTGATATTCAGAAGAAGCAGGAAACTGGGGCTTGTTATCAGCCACGAACAATGAAACTTCCTTCTCTCACATGCAAAGACCCCTGAAGAGCACGCAGTGCTCACACTCTCATTCCCGTCGCAACAAATAACAACGCCAGCTGTTGTGCTTTGGTCCCAAAGGGTCAGAGAAGCACTCTAGCAAGTGCCACATAATTACAATAATTGTGCTTTCAGATCTGCAGAGGAGACCCATCACCCAAGCCCACAGATGAACATAGCTCAAGGGATAGTAATACAGGGAGGGCCTTAGCCCTTCCGTGGAGCTGTCACTCACAGTCGGCTCCTTCCTTACTGAGTTTCAGGCATGGCCTGAAAGCACCCCTCTTTAAGCCAGACGGGTGCTGTTCGTTTTTTTATTAGGATTTCTGCTGCATTTTTTTTAATGGTTTGTATTCTTTAATACCAGGACTTCTTAGTTTGCATTTTACTGTTTTATCGTGCATTTTAACTGGAGGGATTCATAAAATCCCCTGGGTTCTTTCTTTTTTTGATGAACGGTAGTTAAAACACTGTAAACAAATAAATATTTTGAACACACAAGCCTGGCACAGATGCTTAAGTGCAAACTCAAGCCTCAGTCAACTACTGCTTTGGCTGTAATGAGCGTAACTTATATTTATAATAATAATACAGTGGTGCCCCGCAAGACGAATGCCTCGCAAGACGGAAAACCCGCTAGACGAAAGGGTTTTCCGTTTTGGAGGTGCTTCATAAAGCAATTTCCTATGTGCTTGCTTCGCAAGACGAAAATGTATTGCGAGTTCCTGCAGGGTTTTTTTCCTTTCCCCCCCTTTTTCCCAAGCCGCTAAACCGCTTATCAGCTGATGGCTAAGCCGCTTATCAGCTGATCGTTAAGCCGCTTATCAGCTGATCTTTAAGCCGCTTAACATCTGATCTTTAAGCCGCTTATCAGCTGATCTGCTAAGCCCGCTAAGCCGCTAATACTGTAGCGCTAATCTGCTAAATCGCTAATGGGCTTGCGGAACGGATTCTTTTCGTCTTGCGAGGCACCACTGTATTATAATAATTTATTATTTATACCCCACCCATCTGGCTGGGACTCCCCAGCCACTCTGGGCAGCTTCCAACAGAATATTAAAATACAATAGTCTATTAGACATTAACAGCTTCCCTAAACAGGGCTGCCTTCAGATGTCTTCTAAAAGTCTGATAGTTGTTGTTCTCTTTGACATCTGGTGGGAGGGCGTTCCACAGGGCGGGCGCCACAACCGAGAAGGCCCTCTACCTGGTTCCATGTAGCTTTGCTTCTCTCAGCGAGGGAACCACCAGAAGGTCCTCGGCACTGGACCTCAGCGTCCGGGCAGAATGATGGAGATGGAGACACTCCTTCAGGTATTTAAAGGAAAGGAAAGGAAAAATGGTACGCTGCCGGAAGACAGAATGGCTCGTCAAAATTCAAGCTTGTTTTCTGGTGACCTGCTAAAGTCTGTGGATGTTAGAACCACAAAAAAACCCTTTGCCAGTGGTGGCTGGGGCAGATAGGAGTTGTAGTCAAAAACTCCAGGAGGGCTCCATGTTGGCAAAGGCTGCCTTAAAGGTTAAGGGCTGTGTGAGCAATGAACCTATTACTATAAGAGCCAGGCTCCACGCCCAGTGTGGCCAAACCGGTCATTACTTCCCTAAATCTGCCTCTGCCTGGAGCCCCTCAACCAGCAGGACCCCAGTGCAGCGGCCACTGCCCGCTAGCAAGAATCACTGCAACTGGTATTCAGAGGCACAGAGCCTCTGGTTACTGTTGCAAACAAAATCTGCCCTTTTTCCCTTATGGGGTATCCAAGAGCCCGTATAGAGTCCTTACGTGGGTTCCCTATTGGTAGGAGAAAATAACAGAGGCCAACCAGAGAATATTGAGAAGCAAAGCAGCTAGTAAGCCTGATCTTTATTGATCTGTTGCAACAGGGTGCTCCCCTCACACGCAGGAAAGGAGGAGGAGCCCAAACAAAGTTGTGCCTGCCCTTATACAGACATTTTAAATTCCCTGCCCTGGAGCTCAAGACCACCCCTCCATACATCATACATACATCACAGAAGGGGCGTAACCCAAGACCACCCCACACAAACATCACAGAAAAGGTGGTCTACAACAGAAATTTGAATGTTGTTGTTTTTCCTGTCTGCCAGGTTATCTGATAATGCCTTATCTGATTGCGTTTCCTGGTAGTCTGGCCATTCCTTTGAAATGGTGATTACTAAATTCCTGTAACAAGGAAGGGTTTTTTCCCACCTCTTCCCTCCTTGCATAGAAACATTTGGTCAGCTTGGGGGTCAAAATGATTTTAGGACTGTCTTCCTGTGCTGCTTCAGACATGTGGTTTATATATTTATGTATGTGTTTGCTTGGTACATTTATGAACATTTATTATATATCTAAGACCTTAAAATTCTTATAACATTGCAACAGCCACCATGGTTAATATTTTATTTATTTACCTCATTTATAGCCCACCTTTCCTCCAAGGCGGTGTACCCGGTTTTATCTTCACAACCACCCTGTGAGGTAGGTTAGTCTGATAGGAAGCTACTGGCCCAGATGTCACCCAGTGAGCGGGGAATTTGAACCCGGGTCTCCCAGGTCCTAGTCCGACACTAACCCAGTGGTTCTCAAAGTTTTCCCTCAGGGACCACACTTTCAGAATAAACATTTGCTCACACCACACCAAATTTGTCTGACACCCCTCCCCTACCCCCCCTTGGTACCTTCCAACTCTACAATTCTATTGTAAGAAATATATTGGAAAACCAAAAAGAAACAATTCCTAGCAGTGCTTGATTTATAACACAGAACACAACTACTTCACAATATAATCACGGGGCATTCAGAACGTATAAAACAACGCAGCTACCTAAGTTCACAAATCATTCCCAAAATATAATTATAAACTAGCCTCATACATATGTACCTTAAGTATGTATACAAACTCAGTGGGAGATGTGAGCTTGCTTTTGCCAGGTAACCTCATTTATATTGGGTCGTAATTCTCATCAACATGAAGAAACCTTTCTTCCCCCACCCCCCCACCCCGAGTTTTCATATTTGTAAGAGTGGAAAATCCCCGTTCACAACAATATGTCATGGAGAACTGTAGAAAAATAGCTAACACTCTTGAAGAGAGGTGTGGGTCCTCTTTATGGTTGTGTACCCAACAAATTCTTTTGATATACCGTACTAGAGTTGCCATATTTCAAAAAGCAAAACTCCTGACACCCGCAAAATTGTTGAGCTTTCTAAACCCAAATTGTGGCGCTCTTTGGAGTCAACCTGCCAAAAGCAGTGATTTTAAGCTTTAGCAGCCGTTTCCAATTATTTTCCCATCACGTTGCCATACATCCGAGGTGGCAAAAATACCCTGACGTGGTTTTTACACCCGGAAACCAGGACATACCAGGAATTTTCCTGACTTATAATAATAATAATAATAATAATAATATATTATTTATACCCTGCCCATCTGGCTGGGTTTCCCCAGCCACTCTGGGCGGCTTCCAACAAATATTAAAATACAATGGTCTGTTAAACATTAAAAGCTTCCCTAAACAGGCAAGCCTAGATATACTATACTGTACTATACACTGCAATGTTTACATGTTTCTTTTCTTGCCTTTGAATATTCCCGCCGCGCTCTCTATCCTCTCCTGCCAAGCCCTTTTGAGAGCCTCTGCTCTAACCACTGCACCACACTGTCTCATGACCCATCCCTAAGCTGCATATATTTTCTCCAAGAATCCTTCCCAGTCAAAACACGAAGGCTGTGAGGTTTTGTGTCTTTGTGTGTGTGTGTGTGTGTGTGTGTGTGTGTGTGTGTTTTGTGTGTTTTGTGTTTTTGCCGGGAAGAGTGATTTTATTCCTTCCTTCTTTCCTTCCCCCCAGAGCTCTTGCTCCTCTGCCACCAGAGGGCTCTGGCCAATTTAAAAGGCTCGGGAGCCTGCTCTCTCTCTCTCCCTCTTCTCTTTGTGTGTCTTTTTTTCGCTTTTACGCGCAGCCTTTCTCGGGATGAGTTTCCTGTATCAGGCGCTCGCTGCATCCGGATCAGCGGGAGCGAGCCTCGCACCGGGAACTGGATCAGCCGCCGCCGCTGCCGCAGTTGCTCGGACGAAGCGACGCCCGATCCCTTCCCTTATTTTTTTCCCCCCCAACCCCCTTCGCCGGACCGAGGTGGGAACTCCCTCCGGCCAAAGCGCGGCTCCAGAGGGCTCCGCCCAGGCTCTCTTCTGCAGCCATTCAGCCCCAAACGCCCCATCCGCCCCCCACCCTCCTGCGCCCCGGGAGGAGGGATGGAGAAAGCCCCCCCCCCACGAGGATGATGGCCATTTGTCCGACACCCCCAGAGTGGGGGAAAGGAATAGGGCGGTGGGTGTGGGGTGCGGTTCCCAAGGGAGGTGCAATTCACTAGAGAAGCGGGGAAGGAGCCACGTCGTCCAGGATCCCAAGAGAGGAGCCTCGTTTTTGGAGGAAAAAATTCCCCTCCCTCCGCTTCTCTGGCTTCCTTAATCGTGCTGTTTTCACAGTCTGCCTGGGAGGCTGTTTCTGGCTTGAGAAAAGGGGCTGGGTCTCTTATCCGAAGGCTAATATACTGGATGGAACAGGGATAAGGACCCTCGTGTTAGGCTACTGCAGCTTCCGAGCTCCCTGGCGATTAGGGCTAACAGTGGGGGGGCTGGCATTCCGCAACATCTGGAGGGCCAGAGATTCCCCATCACTTCTGTGAAAAGGGAGTGTTTAGGAGACATGCCCCTCTGGGGAGTCTCCCTTTCCCCCTCCCCTTGCAAAGCATTTTTTTCCTCTAGGGTGGGATTTCATATGCTTTGGGGCGCGAAGGTTGCGTATGATCTGCATTGTTAATTTATTTAGGGCGTTTGGATCCCTGCTCCTCAGCCAAAAAGGCTCCCCCAGTAGCTTGTGTGCAATCCTCAAGGCAAAGCCCCTTCCTGCAGTCTTGCAGTTGAAAAGTCAGGGCACAAAAGGAAAAGGGGACCTGGAGGGAAGAGGAAAGATGCAAACTCCCGACAGGTGCCTGTTCTTAAAATTAAACATTGCTTTTTCCACCTCCGCCATCAGAGGCAGGATGCAAGTTTTTCCTGGGTGGGATGCACAGAGTAGGGTGAGGTGACACCCCAGAAGGGGTGGCAGACCGAGTCCTCAAGTGGGTCTAAGGCAGGCTTTCTCATACTCGGCCCTCCAGATGTTTTGGGACTACAACTCCCATGATCCCTAGCTAGCAGGCCCGGTGGTCAGGGATGATGGGAATTGTAGTCTCAAAACATCAGGAGTTTGAGGAAGCCTGGCCTAAGGCATGCGTACATTGAAAGCGCATTTCCTCCCCCAAGAATCCCGAGAACTGCAGTTCACCCCTTGCAAAACTACAGTTCCCAGGCTTCTTTCCTGGAGTTAGTTTAAATAGTTGGGTGTGTCAGCATCCTCACTCTTGAAGGCAGGTGGCCTGAGCGTTAATTCAGCCAAGCAAGGAGGTGTGTTGCACAGTCTTCATTTTTAAAATATTTGCCTTGGCCTTCGGGTTTCTGTGGGGAGGCTTAGGGGCCCGACAGAGGCAAAGCAACAGGCCGTGCACATTGTCAAATGTGTGCAATAATCATGAGGCCTAGAGATGGCTTAAAATCCAGGGTAGGCTGTTCTAAGAAATGCAACTCTTGGTTCTGTTTGTTGTTTGCACAAAGAACCTTAGCAGAGCAAAGTCCTACCTGCATTCAGGGGGTGGGACACAGGAGAGTATTAATGGGGTGGGTGTTGGCTTGGGTGGGGTAACTTGAGCAGTCCCTCCAGGCTAGATGATTCCCCCCTTGGAAGCCCTCGCAGTTGCATAAAGCCAAGCTAATTACGTCAGAAAAGTTAATTAGCAGGCTGAAACAAGCTCCCTGATCAACACCTGCTTAATCAAAGGTTAATTTTCAATGCAGAATTGGGTATTTGTGCTTTGGTGTGAATTGAGGTTGGCATGAGATGCCTAGCACATTGCTTCCCCCCGCCACACACAAAAAAAGGGGATACGATTGACGGTTTGTGTGCATGTTTTTTCCTGTTGCTTTCCTTTTTACTTGCGCAATTGTGTCGGTAGGTTAGGATCACAAGCTTGTGAGTTCTGCTTTTGCCTCCTGTATTTCCATTTATTCTGGGTACGGTACCGCGAGAAAGCATTGCTTGCTTAAACAGCCTGCCCCGCGTGCTCACCTGGGAGTGCAATAGCTCGGTAAAGGTGTGGCTTTCTTTTCAGTTGTTATTTCACAAAATCGATAGACCGATTGATCGTAATGAAGCCTCACAAAGCGGTTTGCAAAAAGAATAAGATCCGCAATGTGGATTTTGCTTTGTGGGTGTGTCCGTCCCATGACTTACCTTTTGCCTGTGGTGTCCAAAAGTAAAACCCCTTCCCAGTTGTGAGACTGAGATGCATCTGCGGGAGAAAATACGTTTGCAATGACCCACACGGTCCAAGAATTGTGCTGCAGTAATACAGGAGCTCGCCTTACAGCGAGTCAGACCATTGGGGTTGAGGGTATAATAATAATAATAATAATAATTTATTACGGCCGTAGGCCCATACAGATAAAAACAAGACATAAATAACAGCCTGTGCACATGGGAAAAAACAGCCACTAAAACACTACTATAACAATAAACTACTATAAGATGGAATGGCATACTACGCCTTAATTAGCTTGTGGTGCTCCTTGGCAACGCTTTTGGGTAAGGACAGCGACCAGGAACCTAGCCACTTTCAGGGTCGTATGGGTATCCTTATCCTGCAAGATTTGGGCAAGGTGGAATTTTGGTGGAGTACCCTCTAATTTCTGTATGATTGATCCCAACAAATTTGCCCGTGGCACCTTGAATAAGGGGCAAGTGAACATAATGTGCTGAAGCGACTCCGGCATCTCCTTATCACATTCGCACATGGCGGAGGTTTGGCCCTTTGAGAATCTATGTCTCAGGGCATTGGAGGGAAAAACATTAAACCTCGCTTTGGTGAAGGCCAGCCTATGGGCAACAGTCGAAAGGGAGGAGAGGTATGATGGAACGCAGTAAGTTAAAGTGATACCAATGTTCTGGGGCGAACAAACACCTCCCCCCAGCATATAATTTCGCTGTAAATCGATGTCATCCAGTCTTTGGCGGATCAGTCTTTGAGCAGTGGTTTGATCTAGTTTTAGGGAATCTAAGGGAGAGATTCCATAGCTCAGGAGTTTGGCATGAATTCTACTGGTCCAAAGGCTGGAGAATTCATCTCGCCATAAGCATTGGGCAAGGTAATGGTCTGGTAATCTATGCCACAATGATAACCAATAATTGAAGACTTGCTTCCACAGGCAAGTTTCTAAGGATGCGATCTTCAATTCTAGTCGCATGGCTGCGTTGCTTACGCACAGGGGGGCATTAGGAGCCGACGTAGGAATTGGTTTTGCAGAGTCTCAAGAGGAGCAAGGTCTGTCATCACGGCCCAGAGCGGGGCAGCATAAGCAAGCACGGGAACCACTTTTGCCTTGAACACCTTTAGGGCCGAGGAACATGCAAAGCTCCATCCGAAAAGAAAAATCGGAGGAGCGCATATGTCAGAGTTTTGGCCTTATTAAGTAGGTGTTGAATATGTGCTTTCCACCCCAAATTGTATTGAAAAATAACTCCTAGGTATTGAAATTTTAGGACTTGCTCTATTTTTGCTCCACCAAGCTTCCATTCGTATAATCTCCGACTTCTGGCGAAAATCAGAATCTTAGATTTAGCATGATTGATGGTTAATTGGTTGAGTTGACAATACGTGGCAAAGATCTTCAGAGCTCTGGTTAGTCCAACACGTGTATAAGATAGAATTACCGCGTCGTCCGCATATAAAAGGAGTGGACAGCGGTAATCCGCTAGTCTAGGCGCATGTGTACTTGGAGATGAGTTGACTAAGGGTGCTCGCATGTCGCTGATGAATAGATTGAATAGGCAGGGGGCCAATATACATCCTTGGCGCACTCCCTTGTTTATTGGTATCGAATTTGTGAGGTCGCCCGCAGGGGTAAGTCTCACTCTGGCAAGGGTACCTTCGTGGAGCTGACTTATAAGCCATAAGAGTCTTCTATCGATACCCTGTTTCGCAAGTTTCTCCCAAAGAATATTTCTAGGAACGCTGTCGAAGGCTGCCTTAAGATCTAAGAAGGCAGCGCACAGGTAGCCCCGGGGGGGGGGAGGAGTACTTCCGTGCCAGATGGTAAAGAACTATCGCATGATCAGTTGTAGAGCGTTTAATTCTGAACCCTGCTTGTTCGTGGCCAATCTGGTTAGTCTCATCTACCCATCGCAATAGTTTCGTCAGCAAAAAGCTGGCATAAATTTTCCCTATGATCGAAAGGAGGCTGATGTTACGGTAATTTTCCGGCTCCATTGGGGAACCTTTTTTATGAATTGGTACTATAATGGCCTCCTTCCATATTTTGGGGATGATACCAGAAGCGTTGATTGCGTCGAAGGTTTTGGCCAAGATGCCAGCCCACCATTTTGGGTGTAGTTTGATGGCTTCAGCAGGGATCAGGTCGGGCCCTGGGGCTTTGCCCGATTTCAGCTGGGCTATTAGCTTGGCTATTTCGTCAGGATCGGTGGGAGGCCAAATAGGTAGGTGGGAAAACAGATGCATCAGATGGTCGGAGGGAGCATCTGCCTGTGAGAAACATTTCTTCAGGAACAATTCCCATGTCGGTGCAGGGATGACTGCCCTTGGGTATTTCCTCACCCTTCTGTTAATCAGAGACCAGAATTCCCTGGATCTATGTGATTTTGAAGCAGTAATCAAGGCCTGCCAGCGATTATGTTGCCACTCATTATGTTGAGGGTATTATTGCATTACTGTTTTTATTTTTATTTTATATATTGTGATCTTTTTTGCAAACTGACCCGAGACCTCCAGGTATAGGGTAGTATATAAATTCAATCAAAATCAATCAATCAATAATATCACCTACACTGAACTCGCAGTAGCTCTCCAGGATTTGAGACAGAGGTTTCTTGGTGCAGCAAGAGTAAGGTAAAGGTAAAGGGACCCCTGGCCATTAGGTCCAGTCGTGGCCGACTCTGGGGTTGCAGCACTCATCTCGCTTTACTGGCCGAGGGAGCCGGTGTATGGCTTCCGGGTCATGTGGCCAGCATGAGTAAGCAGCTTCTGGAGAACCAGAGCAGCGCACGGAAACGCCGTTTACCTTCCCGCCGGAGTGCTACCTATTTATCTACTTGCACTTTGTCGTGCTTTCAAACTGCTGGGTTTGCAGGAGCAGGGCTGAGCAATGGGAGCTCACCCCATTGCGGGGATTCGAACCACCGACTTCTGATCGGCAAGTCCTAGGCTCTCTGGTTTAACCCACAGCGCCACCCGCGAGTAGCAAACTCCAAAAGAGAATCCTGTTTTTCACCCTATTCTCCATCATGCAGGTTGGCTGCCAACAGGATAGCCCTGCAGGATCAAGACCAAGGGTTCATTTCAACCAGCGTACCTTTTCAAACATTTCCCCGCAATATGGCACTGCCAGCTTCATTTGCAGCCTCTTCTTAAGGCTTTCTTTTCTTTTCACCCTGCTGATGCATGCCAGCTGATATCTCCATTGCGCTGCTCCCCACAATATCAGGGTTTCCCTTCCTGGAACTTTTTGAACTCACGCTATGTCTGTTGCACGACCAAATCTGCATCTACACAAACCGGGGTTGATCTTGTGACTCTTGCCTCGCATGCAAAAAGTCCCGGGTTCAGTCTAGGTAGGTTTGGGAGTCTGCCTGGCCTGAGTCCTTGGTCAACTGCTGCCAGCCAGTGTAGGCAGCGCTAGCTAGATGGAGCAAAGGGCTGACTCTGTATAGGACAGCTTCCTATGTTCCGTCTTTGCTTACAGTGGGCTCTGTACACTGCAGAGTGCCATTCCAATGACACCCAGCCACCTGCCCTCTTCATCAGGCAAATTAAGCCCTGACAGTGTGTGTCGGGGGGTGTCTCTTCCTACCCCAGTCTCAAAGTCAGCCTACATGTGCATATTTAAATGTAAATTAGCACGTGTGTGTTTCATGCCACTTTGTGTTAGAGGCTCAAAGACTTCTAAATACCTAGATTCGCTCACTGCGAGAAGCAAAGTTACAGGGAACCAGGCCTTCTTGGTGGAGGCACCTGCCCTGTGGAACACCCTCCCACCAGATGTCAAAGAGAAAAATAACTACCAAACTTTTAGAAGACATCTGAAGGCAGCCCTGTTTAGGGAAGCTTTTAATATTTAATAGACTATTGTATTTTAATATTCTGTTGGAAGCCGCCCAGAGTGGCTGGGGAAAGCCAGCCAGCTGGGCGGGGTATAAATAATATATTATTATTATTATTACTATTATTATTATTATTGATGTTCTCATGGGCCAGACATTGGGGGAGATCACAGATGTTGAGATTTTATCGCTCATCTTGCTGGCCTCTCAACATGCATGCGCCCTCCATAATCAGATGCCACATGATGACACCAAGGAAGGTGTTGGACTCCAAATCCCATCATCCCCAGTCGGCATGGCCAACAGTTGGGAATGATAGGAGTTGTAGTCCGGCAACATTTATTGCAGAGGTGGCTGATATGGTTTCCCCCAGATGTTTCTCCCGTCATCCCTGGTCATTGGCTGTTCCTCTCTTTTTTTGAAATAATTTTTATTTGATTTTACAAATACAAGGTTCTAAAAATCCAAATACAGTGGTACCTCGGGTTAAGAACTTAATTCGTTCCGGAGGTCCGTTCTTAACCCGAAACTGTTCTTAACCTGAAGCACCACTTTAGCTAATGGGGCCTCCTGCTGCTGCCGCACCGCCAGAGCACGATTTCTGTTCTCATCCTGAAGCAAAGTTCTTAACCCGAGGTACTATTTCTGGGTTAGCAGAGTCTGTAACCTGAAGCGTATGTAACCTGAAGCATATGTAACCCAAGGTGCCACTGTATAAATCCATATACAGAGATTCTTCCAAATCTTGCGACTTCCCCCCACCCCCTCCATGGGGTCCCACTTTGAACATTTACAACTGCATATTCTTGCATACACTAACTTTTATATCAATCCGTATTGTCTATGGTATTTGCTAGACTACAAGTGAAATCAAAATCCTGCCAATAATAGTAATAGTAATAATAATTTATTATATATATATCCTGCCCTTCTGACTGGGTTTCCCCAGCCACTCTGGGCGGCTTCCAACAAAATATTTAAAAAGTCCTTCAGATATTAAAAGCTTCCCTAAACAGGCTGCCTTCAGATGTCTTCTAAAAGTCTGGTAGTTGATTTTTCCTTTGACATCTGGTGGGAGGGCGTTCCACAGGGCGGGCGCCACCACCGAGAAGGCCCTCTGCCTGGTTCCCCGTAACTTGGCTTCTCACAGTGAGGGAATCACCAGAAGTCCCTCGGCACTGGACCTCAGTGTCCGGGCAGAACGATGGGGGTGGAGACGCTCCTTCAGGTATGTTTCCATCTGCTTACAGTGGTCTCCTAAATAACTTATAATTTCCCCCCATTCTTTTATAAAAAAATTGTCCTCTTGGTTTCTGAGTTTTCCAGTCAGTTTGGCCATTTCGGCTTAGTCCATCAGCTTAGTTTGCCATTCCTCTCTGGTCGGGACCTTGTCTTCCTTCCATCTCTGGGCTAGTAACATCCGGGCGGCTGTTCTTCCATACATAAAAAAATCTTTTTGACCATTGGCTATTCTAGCTGGGGTTGAAAGTCTTAACATCTAGAGTGAACCATGTCTGATCCCTGATCTCTACAATGGCACATTGGTTAAAGTGTTTGAGCCATGAACATCCATCACCATGAGCCAGGAATGGTGAGTGTGTGGCAGCCCAGATGTTGGCCTCCGCAACTCCCATCAGCCCCTAGCCAGCACGGCCAATGGTTGGGGATGCCAGGAGCTGCAGTCTAGTAACATCTGGAAGCTACAGGGCCACATCTGGAGGTTCATCTGCCACACAGCAATGGGTTGCCTTTCAGCAAAACAGCACCGATTATCTTGAGCATCTAAAACAGTGTTTCCCAAACTTGGGTCTCCGGCTTTCCCCCAAACTACTATTTCCATCATCCCTGACCACTGGTCTTGCTAGCTAGGGGCGATGGGAGTTGTAGTCCAAAAACAGCTGGAGACCCAAGTTTGGGAAGCACTGATTTCAGGAAATATAGTCACAAGTTCACAAGTATAGTTCACAAGTATAGTTGTGAATATGAGGTGACTTCTGGACTCTCCTTGTTTATCCCAGCAGGTGATGGAACAATGAAGGACCCAAAAGGAAAGACTCTTCAGGAGGAGGAAGAAGAGGAGGAGGAGGAGGAGGAAGAGGAGGAGGACTTTGGGCCCCAAGTCGAACTGCACTTCACCATCTTGGAAGAATCTGAAGGCGGCATTTCTCAGGGGAAGCTCTGGCACTGCGAGATTGATGCTGAGCTGCAGCCTGCCGACTCCTGCCAGCCAGAGCTGGACGATGACTCTGTTTACTCTGACCAGTCGCGCTCCCCATCTCCGGAACTCCAGGAGGTCCTCCCGCACCCTGACCGGGGAGCCAGAGAGAGGCGGGCGGATATTTATCCTCCACAAGGTCCGGAACAGCAGGTGGAGCTTCATTTCACCATCCTGGAGGAGTCGGAAGGGGGCATCTCTGAGGGGAAGCTCTGTGCGAGCGAGGTCAGGCCGGACGAGCCCCTGCAGGCCGGCTACCCCGAGCGCCCGTGGGACAGGCCCGTTCCCTGGAGCAGGAAGCTCAGCCCGCCGTCGGAGGCGGCGAAGCCTTCGTTCCTCCCGGCTGAAGGCCGTCCGGAAGGAGAAACCAAAGGCGAGCCCCCCGCGCAGGAGGCCTCCGACCAGCAGGTGGAGCTGCACTTCAGCATCTTCGACGACGCCGAGGAAGCCAGCCTCTCCCAGGGCCCTGAGGATTACCCGATGTGGGAGAGCCCGTTCAAGCCGGCCATGTACCCGGGGAACTACCCCAAGGAGGACTGGGATATGTCCATCGACAGCCTAGGGGACGCCTTTGAGGCGTCCTTCCAGCAGCAGTTCTACCCCGGCGGGCGGGCGTACCCGTGCAGCGAGTGCGGGCGGGTGTTCAACAGGAAGTCGACGCTGACGCGCCACTGGCGGACCCACACGGGGGAGAAGCCCTACTCGTGCCTCGACTGCGGGCGCAGCTTCAGCCTCAACCTCAACCTCCTCACCCACCAGATGACCCACACGGGAGAGAAGCCCTACAAGTGCCCTGACTGCGGGCAGAGCTTCACTCGCAGCACCAGCGTCACCCGCCACCAGCGGAGCCACCGGGAGGAGGACGGCCCCTACAAGGGCGACCTGTGGGACGAAGCTTTCCCCTACATGTTCCCGGGCCCGTTCCCCTACCCGATGCCCCCCATGGTGGAGGAGCGGCCCTACCTGTGCCCCGACTGTGGCGAGGCCTTCGCGCACAGCGGCAGCCTCAACCGCCACCTGCGCATGCACCGGGGCGAGCGGCCGTACCGGTGCGTCATGTGCGGCGAGGGCTTCTGCTCCATGTCGAAGCTCTGCCGCCACGAGAGGATCCACATGGTGGAGAAGCCCTACCACTGCGAGATCTGCGGGAAGAGCTTTGCCGTCAAGTCCACGCTGACCCGGCACCAGATGCTTCACCAGGCCGAGAGGCCCTACATGTGCCCCCACTGCGACAAGGGCTACGTCCAGCGGAGCCACCTGGCCAGGCACCACCACAAGGCGCACCCCGGGGTGCCCTTCAACCCTGTCAAAGCGAACAGTATGCCCGCCACCATCTTGGATTCTGACAACCTCGTCACCTATTTCTGGGGCGATGAGGAAACGGACGGTCCGGCCGAGCCTTTCCCGACTCAGCTGATCTACTCGGGGGCAGACTCCTGAGAGCTAAGCCGCGCCTGAAGCTACGGGTGCATCTTCCATCTGCCACCCGGGAGAGAAGCACTTTGGACATGCCGGTCTTTTTTTTGGGGTGCTCGGTCTTTTTCCTGGGGATCCTTTGGATCTGAAGAGCTTGAGGATTCAGCCCCCCAGAGTTGATTCCCAGCGCAGGGTTTTGTTATGGACTTGGTGCCAAAATTTCTTTCTCGCCTTGCTGCTTTTTTGACTTGGAGTCCGGATGCCAGTGTGGTGCCTATGGAGCCTATGCTCCGACCCATGGTGTCCCCGCCGTTGGCGCCGGCATCAAAAGTTCTCCTGCCTGTTGCGGCATCTGGACCCCATCACTGCAGCGGGCGATGGACAGACTGGGTTCACACGGACCGCTTATTGCGCTGCTTAACGGATCGGAAGCAAAAGCGGCCCCCACGTTGGAGGGGGAAAGGGGGAGCAGCCTGCCCTGTAGCAAAATGTCTAGTGTTAGGGGAGGTGGGCAGCAACTTGGGAGTTCGCCTGAGTTTGTTTTTCATTTGTAGTAGGGGGGGTTATTATTTTTCCTGAAAAGAAAACTATGCCTTGTTTTATCTCCTTAAGTTTCTAGTGAGAACGCTTGAATAAATTAGTAAAATATGGAAATGGAGAGAACAAAAAACAAACCCCAGAGCCAAATTTCATGTGGCAGTGGTTTCCTTGTCATTTTTTTTGCGAGGGGGCAGGGATGCTGGAGGTTTCGGATACTGCAGAACCAAGGCTCCCCTCAATTTATCCTCAAATGTGCTCCCTTTCTTTTCCACCCCTCCCCCTGCACAGCTGTAGCAGATTTTTAGGACTTCCACCTGCCACTTTGATTCAAAATTGCGCCCAGTCCTTTAGCACACTCTTGCCTTGAGATTTGCCTCCTCCATAGGCAGAGTGGAAGACTCCTAGCGATCACAGGATCAGACCTTTAATGCCCGTGTTGACATTTCAAAAGGTGGGTACCGTTTTTGAGGATGCAGACTGGGAGAAAGAGAGAGAGAGTGGGGTCATCATCAATTAAATAAGGTGTAGGAAAGGAAGAGTAATATTTTCTGTTTTTAAATCTAGAACGTTTCCTTTTTTTCTGCACAGTACCAAAGCCAAAATTGGTGGCTGAATTCTATCAGTATTGTGGGGAGGTGCAGGTGCAAAAGTCCTAGCAAAATCATTAGCGTGGTTAAATCTATATCACACCAGCAGACTCACACGTGGTGTTTTGGGGCATTCTGGGAAACAGAAAAAAATCAGTACAAGATTCAAATCAGTGGTAAAAATCAGAGCAGGTTTGAAAGGTTCCACCTGCCACCTTGATTCAAAATTGCGCTCAGTTGTATCTTAACGTGGACAAAAATCTGCTCCTTGATTTCAGGAACGATCCTGCAAAACGTGGCTAAAACCAGGGCACTTCTGGAAGGTTCAGTCGGCTGTCTTGATTCAAAATGGCATCCGATTGTATCCCAACAGAGGCAAAAACTTGCTCCTTCACAGAAATCAACGTTTTGTTACAGTATCTTCACAGGCGTCCAAACGCTTGACAAATTAGCAGCTTTCCAAAATACATAGTAGATTTAATTTATGACCCGATTCCTTCCGTGGTAAACCTCATGGTGATGTGTGGTAAAGGTATCTATGCCAGGGCTGCTCAGACCCCTAACCTGATCGGTTTTAACAGAGTTCTCACCTGTGTCTTGTGCCTTCAGACCGTATTGCCAAGGGCACTTAACCTTTGAGTCTTACTTCTAGGAGGAAACTCACACGTGGCTTTTCACCGACAGACAAAAAAATACAGTGGTACCTCAGTTCTCAAACGTAATCCATTCCGGAAGACCGTTTGACTTCCAAAGCGTTTGAAAACCAAGGCACAAAGGGCGGTCTGCAGAAAACTGAAAAAAATAACATGCACACAGCGGAAGCCGTTCAACTTCCAAGGTGCGTTTGAAAACGGAAGCACTTACCATATTTTTTGCTCTATAAGACTCACTTTTTCCCTCCTAAAAAGTAAGGGGAAATGTATGTGCGTCTTATGGAGCGAATGCAGGCTGCGCAGCTATCCCAGAAGCTAGAACAGCAAGAGGGATTGCTGCTTTCACCGTGCAGCGATCCCTCTTGCTGTTCTGGCTTCTGAGATTCAGAATATTTTTTTTCTTGGTTTCCTCCTCCAAAAACTAGGTACGTCTTGTGGTCTGGTGCGTCTTATAGAGCGAAAAATACGGGACTTTCGGGTTTTTGGTGTTTTGAAAACTGAAATGTTTGGCTTCCGAGACACTCGAAAACCGAGGTACCACTGTACCTGCTAGCTTTGGATACAAACTTGAAGGAAAAACCTCCGGGTTTCTTTTTCCCATCAGAATTGGCACAGGCAGGGGGAAAGCCTGGCACATGTGCGCAAATTGCACAAGACATTGCACGGTACCCCCTGCCTGTGAGGTGTTGTCGCTCTTGTTCCTCCTGTATGTTGAGATTGTTGGTGCATCTATCACGTTATGGGGGATGGTGGGCCCTCCGGATGTTGTCGAACTACAACTCCCATCAGCCTCAGCAAGCACGGCCAATGGCCAGGGATGATGGGAGCTGTGGTTCAGCCACAACTGGGAAGGCCAGCAGCTCCCCACACCTGGTCTGCAGCCGAGTGCAGAGAAGGTGTGGCCTTGCAGATGTTGTGCTCCCAGCTTCCATCAGTCGCGATGGCTGAGAGTCTGTGAGTGCCATTTTCCTTGCTGTGTAAAGCAGAGGTTAGGTCACTGAACTAGCACTTTCCCATGGGAGAATGGCGTAGCCTTAGGGCGATTTCTCAGCGAAGCAGAAAATGAGAACTGATCATATCCTGGAATCCTAGAATTACAGAATGGGAAGGGACCACCCCCTGGTTATCTAGTCCAACTTCCTGCAGTGCAGGATTTTTTTTTTGCCCAATGCAGGACTCGAACCCGCGACCCTGTGATTAAGAGGCTCATGCTCTTAACAACTCAGCTATCTCAGCTTCCAAGAGATGGCTGTGAGCGGATGTTGCCATCGCAGAATGTGGAATACGCAGCACGCGGTCATCGACTTGGGTCGCTTCTACCGCTGAACGCTTGAGGAAGGATTTGATCTGTACAAATGCAACATTTGCAGATGAAGCACGCAGGCAGATAAACTGAGACTTCTTTTTAAATATATATATATATATTTGGTTTTTCAAATTACAGATTTACAGTCACATGCCCAACTTGCCACACAAAAACTTGATTCCAAGGAATTTCTTAGACTTCCCACCTCTCCTTTGTGGATCCTATTGTTAATCATTTCCTCCTGCACCTCTTATGATAATTCAAAATCTTTTACCTCTCCATTGTGTCCAAAATTCACCATTAAACTACAAGTGATATTCCAATCCTATGAACGATTTTAACGTTTTTAAGATAAGTTATGAATTTCCCCCGTTCCTTATTAAAACTTTGGTCTTCCTGATCTCTGATTCTTCCGGTCATTTTGGCCATTTCGGCATAATCCATCAACTTGATCTGGTAGAGACTTTATCTCCTTTCCATCTCTGAGATGGAAGCTGAGATTTCGACATGACAACACAATATATTATTACACCAGCAGCCGCGTACCTGGAATTCCTTGGGACTAAGCAAAACGTTCTTAGTTGTGTTCATGAATGTACACAGTAATGTTTCAGTATTCTAAGAACACAAGAAGAGCAGACTGGATCAGGCCAATGGCCCATCTAGGCCAGCATCCTGTTGTCACTGTTGCCTCCCAGATGCCTTTGGGAAACCGCCAGGCAAGACCTGAGCCCAAGACCCCTCTCCCTTCCTGTGGTTTCCAGAAATTAATATTCAGAAGCTCTACCTCCTCTGACCATGGAGGTGCCTTTGTGTTCACCTTATCCATTCTTTATCTGTTAAGTTCCTCTGCATATTTATTCTAGGAGAACAACAAACGTATGGTTACGTGAAACTTACTCAATAAACACACAAGACGTAACCGGCTGTACTTTTGAATAAAGAAGGTATACAGTGGTACCTCGGGTTAAGAACTTAATTCGTTCCGGAGGTCCGTTCTTAACCTGAAACTGTTCTTAACCTGAAGCACCACTTTAGCTAATGGGGCCTCCTACTGCTGCCGCGCCGCCGGAGCACGATTTCTGTTCTCATCCTGAAGCAAAGTTCTTAACCCGAGGTACTATTTCTGGGTTAGCAGAGTCTGTAACCTGAAGCGTGTGTACCACTGTACTATTCATTGTATCAAATTGTAGATTTCAACAGAAGTTTCATAAAGTTCAACGAAAAAAGCAGAAGACCCAGGAGATCAGCTCATTCTATAGTCAGTTCATGCACAAGGTCCATACATGTATAAGTGTCTATTCCACCTGTTTGTTCATAGAGTCCAATAATCCACATGAAGGGTTGTTACGGTTCCACAGAATCCTTTCACAGAGTCTAAGACAAGGATTTCTGGAATATTAGCCTTGTTTCGCCATCCTAGGCTTCATCAGTAGAACAGGCTCATATGTAATATTACAGGATAGTGGATCTTATAGCATAGTAGTGGTTGAAATCGTTGTCTTAGACTCTGTGAAAGGATTCTGTGCAAGTAGATAAATAGGTACCGCTCCAGCGGGAAGGTAAAAAGTGTTTCCGTGCGCTGCTCTGGTTCGCCAGAAGTGGCTTAGTCATGCTGGCCACATGACCCGGAAGCTGTACACCGGCTCCCTTGGCCAGTAAAGCGAGATGAGCGCCACAACCCCAGAGTCGTCTGCGACTGGACCTAATGGTCAACCCAATAACATCCCCCCAGAAAAGAGCCACATTTTAAAAGGGTATTGGATGTCAGACAGATCAACCAAAGGCCTGGTTAAAAAGGAACGTGTTTGCCTGGCGCCTAAAGGTGTGTAGTGAAGGCGCCAGGCGAACTTCCCTGGGCAGAGCATTTCACAGGCGGGGAGCCACTGCAGAGAAGGCCCTGTTCTCGTCTTGCCACCCTCGGGACCTCTCAAGGAAGAGGCACACAAAGGAGGGCCTCAGAAGATGATCTCAGGGTCCGGGTAGATTCATATGGAAAGAGGCGGTCCTTGAGGTATTGCTCAATAGATGCTTAACAAAGACCATACGTAAGCTCTCCTCTCAAGGAGGAGGCACACGAAGGAGGGCCTCAGAATATGATCTGTTGATGGAAGGTAGTATACAAATTTTATAAGTAGTGGTAATAACCACTGCTGTTTTCCCAAATGGCAACAGTGCCTACCTGAGAGGTGCCAGAGCTAAGCTCCAGCCAGGGGCATAGCTAGCTGCTCTGGCACCTGGAGTGGCAGAGATCCACGCACAGGGGCATCGCTACAAGCTGCCCATGGAGTCCACCTGGTGGACGCAAGCCCCACGCTGACATTTTGGGCAGTGCAGGACCCCAAGCCACTGCGTCACTCCCAGGAGAGACGTGTGACTCGGAGGCGCTGCAGGCCAGGCCCCGCCCCCATGGTGCGCCATTTTGTCACCCCCTCAGGGATGACATCCGGGGCGGACTGAACCCCCCCACCCCCCCAGCACCCACCTTCCTACACCTCTGGCTCCAACAAGTTCCGGCTGAGAAAAAGCCCTGATAATGACCCTGCCTTGTGGTAGATCTGTTATATTCTGGATTCTTGCTCCCAGGAGCTTGTCACTGCGTGCCTGTAAATGCGTCAAATGCCACTCTGAGCAAAAGCCTCTGTGCTGAACTTTGCACAGTGGACTTGGGTCCACTCTTGGCACGCTTCCCTAGCAGTGCCTTTCTGCCTTGCCCTGGCACAGAGCCCAGCTGCGAGAAGATCCAGCAGCTGCGCTTTCAGTTCTGAAGGGATTCTTCGAGCAAGGGAAACGAAACCTAAGCAACCTGCGCTTCTTAGAGGGGAGAGATGGCTGACGCTCCTGCTTCGAAGCCGGCCTTCAAGCCCAAACCCCGGAGGCCTGTTTGTGCCCTATGCCAGGGGCCCTACAAAACGGCCGTGGTCGTCGCAGGGCAGAAATTATGCCGCTTCTGTTTTTCTCGCATGAAGAGGGAGGCCGCAGCCAGCAGGCCTTCCCCGAAGGATGGGGAAGAGAAAGGAGGAGACGGGGAGGAGAAAGGAGAGCAGGAGAGACGAACCGTGGAAGAGGAGGAATGTCAGAGTCTATGTGAAGAGCACCAAGAAGACCTGACATGGTTCTGCACGAAGGACAAGGCTCTCCTATGCAAGAGCTGCAAGGCCTCTGAGGTTCATATCTCTCACTCTGTGGTGCCTGTTGAAGATGCTGGCCAGGAATACCAGGTGGGGTTTTCCCCCTTCCTTCCTGCAGTCCCATTGTGTCCCTTCCCTTCCCAGCCTGCCCTTCTGTAGTTGTAAATATCTGAGGCAGCAAACGCAGCATCAAAACCGAATGGAACATCCAACTAAAATGAGAAAATACCTCAGACATTCATAGAAGTTAGGGAATAAGGCTGCGTTTTCCTTTCGGCTGTGCCGGAGATGGTGTTCCAAGAGCAGGGTGCCACCACAGGAAAGGCCCCGTCTCTAGTTGAACACCTGCCTAATGGCGTCTCTTCCGCTGGCAGCTGGGGAAAAAGCCTCTGAAACAGACCTTGAGGGGAAAGGGGTGTAGCTCCGTGGCAGAGAATCTGCTTTGTTCCAGGTTTAATACAGGGCGTCTCCAGGTAGGGCTGGCAGATAGCCCTGTCTGCAAGCCTGGAGAGCTACTGCCAGTTGGTGTAGGCAGTGCTGACCAATGGTTTGACTCACTGAATAGTGAGTGAGGTTATTAAATTCAGTTCTGGAGAATGCCAGTAGCTCAGGCCACCCTCAATGTATTTGTCAGTGTTATAAGATGCATTTGGGGGGAAAGCGTGGTATGTTGTGGTGTTAAAAATAACAGTGTTATCATATATAAAAATACACACACACACACACACACACACAGAGTGGTACCTCAGGTTACATACGCTTCAGGTTACATACGCTTCAGGTTACAGACTCTGCTAACCCAGAAATATTACCTCAGGTTAATAACTTTGCTTCAAGATGAGACCAGAAATCGTGCTCCGGCGGCGCGGTAGCAGCGGGAGGCCCCATTAGCTAAAGTGGTGCTTCAGGTTAAGAACAGTTTCAGGTTAAGAACGGACCTCCGGAACAAATTAAGTACTTAACCTGAGATACCACTGTGTATACACACACACACACACACACACAAAGCCAGCCCCATTGAGTTCAATGGGACTGACTCTCAGGTGCGTACATTTGAGTTTGTCGCCTAGGTCACACAAAGTAGCTCTGGAGCAGTTCAGTTGCTCAGCTTGATGGGTGGAAATCTGCAAGTCACTTTGCCAATGCCATACCAATGGGCTGAGTAGTTGGTACCAACTGAGGCTGCGTACACCAAACATTTAAGGCGCATGGGTTCCCCCAAAGAACCCTGGTGTGTTCAGGGTGCTGGGAACTGTAGCTCTGTGGGGCAAAATACAGTTCCCATGGTTTTTGTGTAGGGGTGTGTGTGCTTTAAATGTATGGTGCGTACACAGCCTTTGCTGAGCTACGAATTAAGCTGCCAGGGTTCTCTGGAAGTGGGGAACTGGGCTGAAAAGACTGAATAGAATTGGCTTGGGGAAAACCAAGGCGGAATAAACAAACCTGATTTGCTTGTAATTCTCTTCCCATTTTCCTGCCAGGGGAAGCTGCAGCACGCCGTATCTTTGCTCACTCGACAACTGGAAGAGTCTTTGGAGCAGAAATACAAGGAAGGGAAGAAAACAGCTGCGTGGAAGGCAGGTGCCAAGTTTGTGTTGTTGTTTAGTCGTTTAGTCGTGTCCGACTCTTCGTGACCCCATGGACCAGAGCACGCCAGGCACTCCTGTCTTCCATTGCCTCCCGCAGTTTGGTCAAACTCATGCTGGTAGCTTCGAGAACACTGTCCCACCATCTTGTCCTCTGTCATCCCCTTCTCCTTGTGCCCTCCATCTTTCCCAGCATCAGGGTCTTTTCCAGGGAGTCTTCTCTTCTCATGAGGTGGCCAAAGTATTGGAGCCTCAGCTTCAGGATCTGTCCTTCCAGTGAGCACTCAGGGCTGATTTCCTTCAGAATGGAGAGGTTTGATCTTCTTGCAGTCCATGGGACTCTCAAGAGTCTCCTCCAGCACCATAATTCAAAAGCATCACTTCTTCGGCGATCAGCCTTCTTTATGGTCCAGCTCTCACTTCCATACATCATTACTGGGAAAACCATAGCTTTAACTATACGGACCTTTGTTGGCAAGGTGATGTCTCTGCTTTTTAAGTTTACAAGTTTACAAGCCTCCAAAGATTTCCTTCTGCCGTAGGGCGCAGGTGGCGCTGTCTGAAACCCTCCTCCTCCTTAGTCTCCGTATTAATCTTTGCAGAACTCCATGGGGAGCAGGAAGAGGAGGGTGGGAACAACACAAAAATGAGTTGGCTCTGTCCTTGGTTCTGGTGGGACAGACTTTTGGGCTCCCTGCCAGCCTCAATGAGCCACCACGGGGTAAAGGCACACACCGGTTCCCCGAGGGCTTTTCTGAAAACAGCCCCTTTGGAGACAGCAGGTAGGGATGGCCCTGCTGTTAGAGCAATGCCAGATTACCAAATAGACAAAGCAGACACCGGCCTAGGGGCCCCACAACAGTGGATCAAAATAATATTGCATAATATAATGGGTAAAATAAAATAAAAAAGTTAGCAGATAATTTGCGACGGGCCCCCCGAGATTTCGACTGCCTAGGGGCCTCCACCGGGTTTAATTTGGCACTGCATTAGAGAGAATGAGACAATTGCTTCAGGGAAAGCAGTGTTGGCAGCCCTGTCCATAGCTGAAAAAAGGTAAAGGTCCCCCTGGACGGTTAAGTCCAGTCAAAGGCGACTATGGGGTTGGGTGTTCATCTCGCTTTTCAGGCCGAGGGAGCTGACGTTTGTCCACAGACAGCTTTCTGGGTCATGTGGCCAACAGAACTAAACCGCTTCTGTCACAACGGACCACCGTGATGGAAACCAGAGCAGCACACGGAAACGCTGTCTACCCTCCTGCCACAGTGGTACCTATTTACTGTATCTAGTTGCACTGGTGTGCTTTCAAACTGCTAGGTTGGCAGGAACTGGGGCAGAGCAACGGAAGCTCACCCCGTCGCGGGGATTCGAACCGCCGACCTTCCAGTCGGCAAGCCCAAGAGGCTCAGTGGTTTAGACTACAGCACCACTTGCATCCCTGTCCATTGAGAGGCTGATAGGGCTGATTAGTGGATGCAGAAGAACCCACACAGCCCAGGCAGTTCTCCTTTGCAACTGGCCATCACAATCCTATCAGGGGCTATTAGCCACAATGGCTATGCTCTACTTCCAGGATACCAGTTGCTGGAAAGCTTAGGAGGCTCTTGTACTCAGGTCCTGTATACAAGTTTCCCTCAGGCATCTGGTTCCCCACTATGAGAGCAGGATCCTGGCCTAGGTGGGCTGTTAGCCTGATCCAGCAGTCTCTTCTTATGTATATAATATTTATGATTTTCAGTTTTGCACATTTCAATAATTTTACAATCATTCTAACATTTCAAAACTTGACTTCCTTCTGCCTCTTTCTGCAGTTCCTTAAATTTATTCTTAATATCTTCTGCATATCCAAATTAACTTAATTTGCTCATTTATTCACCTACTTTAAATATATACTCTTATAAAACTGCAGGTTATTACAATGATCCTGCCAATGTTCTTATCTGTTTATAGTTTGTTTGTAAATATTCCAGAAACTATTTCCATTCTTTTATAAAAATTTTGTTATAATAATAATAAATAATAATAAATTTTATTTATACCCCGCCCTCCCCAGCCAAGACCAGGCTCAGGGCGGCTAACACCAGGTATAAAGCAATTGATTGAAATACAACTGAAAAAACAAGATTAAAATACAACATTAAAACAACGTTAAAATGCAGCCGAATTTCAGCAGAAACTCAAAAACTTTTTGGGGGATGAAAACGTCAAGTCTTCACCAAGGCTGGTCCTACATGGGCCAGAAAAAAGCCAGGGAAGTCCCCAAGCGGGAGTTCATCACAGGAGGAGAAAGGAAAAAAGAAAGGGGGGGAGGGAATCAAATTGACTCCAAGCCAAAGGCCAGGCGGAGCAACTCTCTCTTGCAGGCCCTGCGGAAAGAAATCAGATCCTGCAGGGCCCTGGTCTGATGAGACAGAGCGTCCCACCAGGCCGGAGCCAGTGTAGAAAAGGCCCTGGCTCTGGTTGAGGCTAATCTGACTTCCTTAGGGCCCGGGACCACTAGGGTGTTGCTATTTATGGACCTTAAGATCCTCCGTGGGGCATACCGGGAGAGGCGGTCCCTTAGGTATGGGGATCCTTGCTTTTTTCCTTTTTCCCGGTAAGTTTCGCCATTTCTGCATATTCCGTAAGTTTTTGTATCCATTCTTCTTTTGCCGGGACTACTTCTTCTTCTTCTTAACTCTTCTGACATTCTTAACCCCGGAGCCAATAGCTGGAAGTGCTGCTGAATCTCTCTCTCTTCATCTTTCCTTGCTGATGAAGGACAAGGTGCACAGTCAGAAGGAGCGGGTGGAGAGCGAGTTTGCAAAGCTGTACAACTTCCTGGTTGAAGACGAGGAGGAACTCTTGCAGAGGCTGAAGGCAGAGGAGAGGCAGACCCTGAAGAGGCTGGATAGGAATTTAACCCAACTCTCAAAGCAAAACTCCTCGCTGATTAAGCTGGTTAAGGAGATCAAGTCGAAGAGCCAGAAGGCGCCTGCTGAACTTTTGAAGGTGAGACGAGGCATAGAATCAGACTTGTAGACATGGCAGGGACCGCGAGGGTCATCTAGCCCAACCCCCTGTATTGCAGGAATGTTTTGCCCAACGTGGGGCTCAAACCCACGACCTTGAGATTGAGAGTCTCATGATCTACCAATTGAGCTATGCAGGGTATCTGGGAGGCAGCCCCACTGAAACCAAAAGGGTTTGTGAGTAAATGTTGGGTTTCCTGCTTGTGTGAGTTCAACAAACTTTTAATTGTTGCCTCTTTTTTTCAGTTTGAAATGTATGTCACACACACACACACACACACACAACTTTTCAAGTTTATACATTTCACTAATTTTACACTCATTTTGACATTTCAAAAGTTGACTTCCTTCCCCCTCATTCTGCAATTCCTTAAATTTGTTTTTAATATTTTCTGCATATCCAAATTAACTTAATTTGCTCATTTATTCATCTTCTTTAAAAAATATATACTCTTCTAAAACTGCTGGTTGCTACAATAATCCTTCCAATATTTTTATCTTTTTATAATTTATCTGTAAATATTCAATAAACCATTTCCATTTTTAATTTTTTTTAAAATGTTATCTTGATTTCTTATTATCCGATAAGTTTCTCCATTTCTGTATACAGTCATACCTCAAGTTACAGATGCTTCAGGTTGCGTTTTTTTTGGGTTACAGACGCACTGAAACCCGGAAGTACTGGAATGGGTTACTTCTGGGTTTCAGCGGTCGCGCATGCGCAGAAGTGCTAAATCGCGCTTTGTGCATGTGCAGAAGCGCCAAATTGCAACCCGCGCGTGCACAGACACGCCGCTGCGGGTTGCGAGCGTGCATCCCGCATGGATCACGTTTGCAACCCGAGTGTCCACTGTATTCCATAAGCTTTTGTATTCATTCTTCCTTTACTGGGACTTCTGCTTCTTTCCATTTTGGGGCAAGTAACATTCTTGCCACTGTAGTAGCATACATGAATAAGTTACGATACATTTTAGGTAGTTCTGTCCCTATAATTCCTAAAAGAAAAGCTGCTGGTTTTTATTTTTACAAAGGTTATTTTAAATTTAATTGCTGCCTCTTATGGGGAAGGACCACAAAACTCAGTGGTAGAGCATTTGCATAGTAGTAGTAGTAGTAGTAATATATGTATAACCCACCCATCCAAGCCACTTTGGGCAGCTTCCAGCAGAATATAAAAACACAAATAAACACCAAGAACTGAAAATTTTGCAGTAGTGGATGTTTGAAGACCTGGGGGTTACCCACACTTCCCTTTGCAGCGCTGCTTTCTCCTGGGAAATCTGATCTTTAGCGCTGAATCGGAACAAACAACAATCGGGTTTTCAACAGATTGCCATTTGTTCCTATTTAGCACCAAAGAGCTAAATAGAAAGAACCCCTTCTGATTAAAGCAGCAGGGCAACTGCTAAACCACTTGGATCCGTGCCTAGGAAGAGTGGGATAAGCACAAAACCACTCAGATCCTGGGACAAACCAAAGTGTGAACGAACCCCGAGTTCTCAGTTCAAACTATTGGAGATAAAAAATGCATCATCTGGAGAATGGAGATGTTTTGTATAGTACATATTTGTTTCCGTGTTAGGCATGATCATTTCTCTTGCTTAGTTTTAAGCTGTTAAATTAGATTGGCTTGTTTGTATTGGTTTACGCAAAGTTGAATACCACAATTTTGTGGGAAAGTGGCGTGCAAGTAAACAGATGACATTGATGGCATTGGACAAATAACAAACTGGTTCCGTTGGGCTTGTTGAATTCATCTTTAGCCAGGCCCAGGGAGGTGACCGTGAAAATAAAGTGCATAGGCTATTTCAAAACTAGCCAGGCTGATTTAAGAAAATAGATGAGGTATACTTTTAAAAGTATTCAATATATTATTTTTTTTTACAAAAAGAAAATAATAGCCACTTATTTCTCTCTTCATTTTCCGGTTGCCCAGGATGTGGAGAATGTGTTAGCAAGGTAAGCTTGTCAGTTTGCTTTCCAATTAAAAGGTTTGAAATATCCGGCAGAAATGTCACACAGTAATCAAGCCACAAAGTCTGGCTTCTAGGTGTAGAATCCGAGCCCTTTCCTCTAACTGATTTATTTAAAGCATTTATTTTTACTCCACTCTTTAGCCAAAAAGGCTTCTAGAGTGGCTTACAATCATCCGCATTCAGACAGCCTCTGCCCTCAAGCTTACAATTTAAAAGACACGACACACAAGGAAAAAGGGATGGGGAGGGAAGAGGGGGCTTAAAGTTTCATTTCTTACCATAAGCAGCAGGGATAGGAAACAGTTCCGGCAGCTTGATGGCATCACAGCCTACAAGGCGACATTTGAGGGAGCCAAAGGCAAGCTGGTCCTTGAGCAGAGGCAATGCTTCTGTTGTAGAATCATAGAATCATAGAATCATAGAATCATAGAGTTGGAAGAGACCACAAGGGCCATCGAGTCCAACCCCCTGCCAAGCAGGAAACACCATCAGAGCACTCCTGACATATGGTTGTCAAGCCTCTGCTTAAAGACCTCCAAAGAAGGAGACTCCACCACACTCCTTGGCAGCAAATTCCACTGTCAAACAGCTCTTACTGTCAGGAAGTTCTTCCTAATGTTTAGGTGGAATCTTCTTTCTTGTAGTTTGGATCCATTGCTGCGTGTCCGCTTCTCTGGAGCAGCAGAAAACAACCTTTCTCCCTCCTCTATGTGACATCCTTTTATATATTTGAACATGGCTATCATATCACCCCTTAACCTCCTCTTCTCCAGGCTAAACATGCCCAGCTCCCTTAGTCGTTCCTCATAAGGCATCGTTTCCAGGCCTTTGACCATTTTGGTTGCCCTCCTCTGGACACGTTCCAGTTTGTCAGTGTCCTTCTTGAACTGTGGTGCCCAGAACTGGACACAGTACTCCAGGTGAGGTCTGACCAGAGCAGAATACAGTGGCACTATTACTTCCCTTGATCTAGATGCTATACTCCTATTGATGCAGCCCAGAATTGCATTGGCTTTTTTAGCTGCCGCGTCACACTGTTGGCTCATGTCAAGTTTGTGGTCAACCAAGACTCCTAGATCCTTTTCACATGTACTGCTCTCAAGCCAGGTGTCTCCCTCTGCTTTGCAGTCTGATGGCTTCCTAATTCTCAGCTCCCACCCCGCTCCCCAGTAATTGTTTGGGGCAGGGCTGACATTGCGCAACCGGATGCAGAAATCAGTAGGGACCTTTGCAGGGATTAGGGTCACCCTGTCAGCTCCTTGCCCTCTCTCTTCCCCCACTCCCATGAGTTTCTCAGCTTGGTCACCAAGGGCCCCAGTGTGGTGTAGTGGTTAAGAGTGGTGGTCTCGTAATCTGGGGAACCGGGTTCGCGTCTCCGCTCCTCCACATGCAGCTGCTGGGTGACCTTGGGCCGGTCACACTTCTCTGAAGTCTCTCAGCCTCACTCACCTCACAGAGTGTTTATTGTGGGGGAGGAAGGGAAAGGAGAATGTTAGCCGCTTTGAGACTCCTTAGGGTAGAGATAAAGCGGGATATCAAGTCCAAACTCCTCCTCCTCCTCAGAGACGCACTCCGTTGTCTCTTGAGACAGATGGATGCCAACAAACAACACAGCACTGGCTAAGATCTTGCTCTGCTGAGGGGGAAGAAGGCCCTGCTTTGGACACACACCACCAGCAGAAACTCAGGTCGTCTTTTCCCCCAGGTTCAAAATACTGGGCTTCCAGAGATCGGGAAAGGTGTTAACCCTGCAGCAATGCACCACTGCAGGAATGTGGTGAGAGGGGTGAGAAGGCCAAATGAGGAGGAGGATGCAACCAAATGGGAAATAACTAGGAACAAGAGAACCAGTGTGGTGTAGTGGTTAAGAGCGGTAGACTCGTAATCTGGTGAACCGGGTTCGCCTCCCCGCTCCTCCACATGCAGCTGCTGGGTGACCTTGGGCCAGTCACACTTCTCTGAAGTCTCTCAGCCCCACTCACCTCACAGAGTGTTTGTTGTGGGGGAGGAAGGGAAAGGAGAATGTTAGCCGCTTTGAGACTCCTTAGGGTAGAGATAAAGCGGGATATCAAATTCAAACTCTTCTTCTCTTCTTCAAATATACCAGGTGTAGAGAACCTGTGACCCTTCAGATGACTCCTATTGGTCGCAGCCATCATGCTCAGTGATCGGGGTGATGGGAACTGCAGTTCAGCAAGATCCGGAGGGTCCCAGGTTCCTCAGACCTGCAATATTTCTTCTCCCGCCATCATCATACAATCCCTCTTTCCCCCCTTGGTATTCTTCAGAAGGAACGCGATTCACGGGGCAGACCATTGTGCACTGATTGCACAAAAAGAACGGTTTCCCCTCTCTGCATTTCGCAGTTAACAACTGTTAGGGGAGAAATCTGAGGGCTCCCTGGGACAAAAAACAAGGACACCAGCCGGGAATACCAGAGCAAAACAGCAGCCAGTAGGCTTGGTCTTTATTGAAGACTGTCGCGACAGGACTCCCACCTGCACAAGATGGAACAAGATGGAAGCCCTGAACAAAAGAGCCCCCAAACTTTTATTAGTTGCTAATCCCCATGTTATGCACACCCCAAACTACATCACTAATACATCACGGTTACATCATGAAAGGGGAGGTCTGGTGGCAGTAATCTGAGCATCCTGGACCCTGCCCCATGGTTCTCCTTGCCCTCCACCAAACAACCATCAAGTGTAACAAAAGAGATATTTACATTTCCTGTTTCCCAGCCAAGTTAATCACACCCTTTTGTCTTCATCTGAGTTTGTTATTTCTGTAACGGCTACCTGTCTGGCATTCAGGTATCCGGATGCCAGGAATTATCATTCAGGCAGAGGGACTGCTGAGTAGCTGAGCTCACATGTCTATATGAATTTCTGCAGTTTTCCCAGTGAGCCAGTACATAGATACATTTATCAGTGAATTGTTACATTTGGTATCATGCAGCAAAGGCCCTTTGAATAGATAGGAAGAAACTGTTACGAAGTGTTTTGTGGGGATAAATCACAAAAGTCACAAAAGTGATTGTGCTGATTTTGGTAGTGGGCTGCTTGTGCATGATATCTGCTGGAGGGGCAACCACCACCCCCCCAACCTATACATAAATTCCTGCAATACAACAATATGGCATTTTGAATTTACTTTGGTTTTTATTGAAGTTTCTCGCAATACGGTTAAGATATAGGAAACTAATGTAAATTAAAAAATGAGAAACGAAAACAGCTATGAAAAGGCGGGGGAATGGGGGGGGCGGAGAGAAAGACGCAGTAAGAAAGGAAAAGGAGAGAGGAAATGGGAAATGTGTTTTGAATTTACTTTAGACCAGGGATGGTGAACCTGTCACCCTCCAGGTATTGCTGGACTCCAGCTCCCATCAGTCCCAGCCATCATGGCCAACCACCAGGAGTTATGGGAGTCGTAGTCCAACGACGCCTGGCGCCCACAGCAGAGGTGGTTTTAGGGTAGCCCAGCCAGTATAGCCAGACTGGGTGTGGTTGTCGCAACAATGGTGTCGATAGTGAAGGGGAGGGGCGATGTTTAGTGTCACGCAGGGCGCCACTGAAATGGGAAAGCCCAAAGTCCACCGCTGCCCACGAGTTCCTCCTAATTACTTTAGAACACTCTCTGCGCCACCTCCCCATTAGCCTCATAGACGGGAAATGCATAGATAAATGAAATGATTATCCTTTTGCGTAGGGCGGAAAACGTGACCCTGTTCGAACCGCAAGTCGTTCCTACTGAACTGAAGAACGTTTACAACATTCCTTGCCTTGACATTATTCAGATCTTAACAAAATTCAAAGGTACGCGCACAGCAGTGCTTGGATTTTCACTCAAGATACATTCCCATTTGCTTTAGTGAAAGGATGGGGGAGTTGGTGGGCCTCTAGATGGACTACAACTTCCAACATCCCTGCACATTGGCCTTGTTGGCTGGAGCCATTTGGACCCAATGGCATTGGGGGCGGGGGGGGGCACAGGTTCCCCAGCCGTTGCGTAGACAAAACTGAACTAGATGGGCTAAATCAGATTCCCCACCCCACCCCCAAAAACCTGGTGCCATCCAGATGCTTTGAACTACAACTCCCATCAGCCATACCCAGCAAAACCAATGACCAGGGATAAATGGTATGGAGCAGTACATTAGCCAGTGTAGTGTCCAGAGTGTCAGACTAGGTCCTGGGAGACCAGGGTTCCAATCCTTGCTTGGCCCTTGGCCCAGTCACCAGCTCTCCGCCTAAAACCTACGCACAGGGTTGCTGCGAGGATAAAATGGCGAGGGCAAGGAGAACCACATACACAACCTTGAGTTCCTTGGAGAATATGTTGAGATACAGTCATACCTTGGGTTGAATGTGCTTCAGGTTGAGCGCTTTCGGGTTGTGCTCCGCGGCAACCCGGAAGTAACAGAGCGTGTTACTTCCGGGTTTCGCCGCTTGCGCATGTGCAGACGCTCAAAATGGCATCACGCGCATGTGCGGAAGCGGCAAAATGCAACGCGCAGACGCGCCATCGCATCTTACGTTCCATTCAGGATGCGAACAGGGCTCCGGAACAGATCCCGTTGCATCCTAAGGTACCACTGTGTGTGTGTGTGTGTGTGTATATATGTGTGTGTGTGTGTGTGTGTGTGTGTGTCTGTTTGTGTGTGTGTAATGATAAAATAAATAAATATATAAAAGGTAAAGGACCCCTTGACAGTTATGTCCAGTCGCGAACGACTCTTGGGTTGCGGCGCTCATCTCGCTTTACTGGCTGAGGGAGCCAACATTTGTCCGCAGACAGTTTTTCCAGGTCATGTGGCCAGAATGACTAAGCCGCTTCTGACGAACCAGAGCAGCTCACGGAAACGCCGTTTACCTTCCCGCCGGAGCGGTACCTATTTATCTACTTGCACTTTGACGTGCTTTCGAACTGCTAGGTTGGCAGGAGCAGGGACCGAGCAACAGGAGCTCACCCCGTCGCGGGGATTTGAACTGCCGACCTTCTGATCGGCAAGCCTAAGAGGCTCAGTGGTTTAGACCACAGCGCCACCCGCGTCCCAAAATAAATATATAGAGGAAGCCTAAACAGCAGATGGAGGGCACCAGGTTTAGGGTTTGGGGCTGGAGTAGAAGACCCCTTAGGATCGTATCCAGCAGTTCTTGTTACGGGTTTTGCGCCTGTCCCCTGTCCCCTACCCCTTTTCCTATCTCTCTCTCTCTCCACCCTCTAGTGGACGTGTCTCTGGATCCAACCACAGCGCACCCAAGTCTTCTGCTCTCCACAGACAGGAAAAGCGTGGAATACAGAGGATCCCGGCAGTTGCAGCCTCAGGATGACAACAACACAGAGAGATTTGACACCTATGTCCTCGTTCTGGGCTCCGAGGTGTTCACCTCCGGGAGACACTACTGGGAGGTGGAAGTGGGAGACAGCCCAGAATGGGACCTGGGGGTTTGTAGGGAATCAGTGAGCAGGAAGGGGCAGCGAATCATTTTCTCCCCGCTAAGTGGGTACTGGAGGCTGTGGCTTCGGAAGGGAGACCAGTACAAGGCCTTGATTTCCTGCCCTACGCTGCTTCCCATGAACACAAGGCCAAAGCGGGTGGGAGTTTTCCTGGACTATTCTGAAGGGGAGGTTTCCTTTTACAATGTGACCGAGAGAACCCACATCTACACGTACATCGGTACCTTCTGTGGCCCCCTCCGGCCCTTCTTTAGCCCCAGCCGCCAACGGAAAGGGGCAAAGGGGGCCCACCCCTTGCTTATCTGCCCAGGCCCAAAAGCAAGAAAGAGCAAAAAACCTCTGCACTAAACTAGACCCATGTCATTCATGTTGATTCAAACAGTTTGAGGCAGCCATTGCCAGCTTGCCAGCTGCCCTAGACATCCCCTCCTATCTTCACCTCTGTCCTGATTGACAGGTAGGCTGCCCCACTGTTGAAGCCCCCCTAATTATTGTCCCTCACTTTTGACAGGAGAAACGGTCCCTCTAGACTCCGAACTCAGGGGCCGTGTTTTGAAAGCCGAAACAGCCCCCATCCATTTCCGCTTTCCTTTCTAGTGGCAAGATTTAAGATAAGCTTTTTTGTCCCCTCTCCCCTCCAGACAACTTGCACGCTTAGGAGAAAAATCCGTAGCAAATTTGTCTTGAAAATCCATTTATGAAGATCCAATTACTTCTAAATATAATCATCCCCCACTTGGAGGTTTCAGTGTGGTGAGAATGAACAGCTTCCCTATACAGTGGTACCTCAGGTTACAGACTCCGCTCACCCAGAAATAGTACCTTGGGTTAAGAACTTTGCTTTAGGATGAGAGCAGAAATTGCACAATGGCGGCGCTGCGGCAGCAGGAGGCCCCATTGGCTAAAGTGGTGCTTCAGGTTAAGAACAGTTTCAGGTTAAGAACGGACCTCCGGAACAAATTAAGTTCTTAACCCGAGGTACCACTGTAGACCTGAAGGGCCCTGCCCTGCTTCTCTCCACCTGGCTTGGGGCTGCTGCTGCTGCTGGGCAGAGAGGGCCGAGTTTCTGTTTTTTTCAAATTGCTTTTATTTTTTATGTATGTCATTTAAAATTGTGATTGATATTAATGCTGTATTCTTAGTTTTAGATTTTATGATTCATGTGGAAATTGTTTTCCATTTGGTTGTGTACTTTTTGATGTGTTTTAGTTACTGCTTATGACTTTTTTTGTTATGTTGGTAATTATGTAAATCTTGAAATGTTTTAAGCCACCTTGAGCATTGTTTCAACTATGGAAAGGTGGCATACAAATAAAATGATGGTGATGATGACCTGCAGGTATAGGGCAGTATATACATTTATTTCATCATCATCATCATCATCATCATCATCATAATAACTTGATTCTACCTTATTCTCTGTATAATAATAAAACCCTTATCATCCATGGATAAATATGAAGAAATCTGGAAGGAATATTTAAGCGATAAGGCAGACAGTGCTGGGAAATAGGGGGAGGAGAGGTGGGGAAATATTGTTAAAAAGGTGTAGTCCTAGGTATATCAGTGTTCAAATCTGAATTGTCAAATTGTGTTATTATGGTTTTTGTTGTATGTGTCTTTTGCGGTTGTTGTTTGTATTGAAAAAATGATTAAATAAATTAAAATTAAACCCTTATCATGAATCTTCTTGGTAAAGTTGCTTTATAAAATCATAATTTTTTAGTGCTGGAAGGGACCACAAGGGTCATCTAGCTCAACCCCCTGCGATGCAGGAATCTTTTGCCCAACGTGGGGCTTGAACCCACAGCCCTGAGATTAAAAGCCTCCTGCATCTTCATTCCAACTTACCGTATTTTGCGCTCTATAAGACGCACCAGACCACAAGACGCACCTAGTTTTTGGAGGAGGAAACAAGAAAAAAAATATTCTGAATCTCAGAAGCCAGAACAGCAAGAGGGATTGCTGCGCAGTGAAAGCAGCAACCCCCTCTTGCTGTTCTGGCTTCTGTGATAGCTGCGCAGCCTGCATTCGCTCCATAAGACGCACACACATTTCCCCTTACCTTTTAGGAGGGAAAAAGTGAGTCTTATAGAGCAAAAAATACGGTATTTAATAAGGACAAGCAATGGATCATGAATGAGTGCCTGATATCTCCTGGCACAGAAGACCAGCGCTGTTTTCAACATTTGACCCATTTTATTGATTTTTTCAAAATCCCCCGAGCTTTACTGGATCGAGCCAACGGTCAGCATTCGCCCCGCCCCGCCCCTTATCTCAAGTCCGTGGCTTCTTCCCCATCGCCCCTGCATGAGTCCTCTGGTGGATGGTGAGGTTTGAGGACCGGCTGAAGCGCTTTCCGCACTGGGGGCAGGGATAGGGCTTCTCCCGCGTGTGGCCCCTCTGGTGAATGGTGAGGGTGGTGCTGCGGGTGAAGCTTTTCCCGCAGTCGGCGCACCGGTAGGGCTTCTCCCCGGTGTGGGTCCTCTGGTGCGCGATCAGGTTGGAGTAATCGCTGAAGCGCTTGGCGCAGTACGTGCAGCTGTAGGGCTTCTCGCCCGTGTGCAGCCGGTGGTGGGTGATCAGGACCCCAAACTGCCGGAAGGTCTTTCCGCATTCGGGGCACGGGAAGCACTTCTCTTTCCTCTTCTGGGCGGCTGCCTTCGCGCGGCCTCCCTTGGGCCACGCAGGCTGACCCGCGCCCGTCACCAGATTAGTTCCTTGCCGCCTTCCTGTCGCAAAGGCGGCTTGGCCTGTACCCACCCACTCACGACTCTGGGGAGCGCTGCATTCTGAGCGCAGCGGTCTTGTGGCGGGGAGTTCCGCCGGCTCGTGGCCGTTCTGCTGCGGGTTCTCTTCCTTGATTCCGCCCGACAGCATAACGCCTGCTGGAATGAAAAGTGCACAAGGAAGCCAGGGGATGAACAAGGAGAAAAATGAACTTGGATAACCATCAAATTGTACCAAACAATGTGTTCCCTAATTGTTGCTGGACTCAAACTCCCATCATCCCGGGTCACTGGCCCTGATGCTGATGGGAGTTGGAGTACCCAAACCCCACCTCAGGGAAACAAGTGGGGTCTGGGGCTCCTACCTGAAGGGATGCCAGCTTCCTCTTCCTCTTCCTTGATGGTCCTGGTGATGGCAGCAGTTGTGAGGGGCGAGTCCACTGGCAACTCCTCTGAATGTACTGCAGTTCTCTTGCAGGCTGTCAACTCCTGAAACACCAAGAACAGGGATGGGAAATTTCAGACTGGCCTGGGGGGGGCACAACCGTGGCCCCCAAATCTCTTTATTTGGCCCTTGACGCTGTCCCCCACTGACCCTGCTTTAAGAACATAAGAACTCTGTGGAATCAGTCTCATAGCTCCTTTAAATTCCTGGGAATTTACCTCAGTGAGGACCCCACTTGGAAAATCAACGTAACTCAGGTGGTCAGAAAGGCCCAAAGGAGACTCCATTTCCTCAGGGTCTTGAGAAGGAATGTTAAACAATAATAATAATAAATTTTTATTTATAACCCGCCCTTCCCGGTTCAAAAACCAGGCTCAGGGCGGCTAACAACAAATTTAAAACACTTTATTATAAAAGCAGCATAAAATACAGTATAAAAACATGAATAACAATAAAAATCAAAAATCAATTAGATAATCCCCAGGGCTAGCTGGCTGAATTGGTCCTACTTGGGCCAGCAAGGAGACCAGGGGAGAATTAGCTGTGGGGTCTTGGAGTGGGTGATCTTCATAAAAGGGGAGGGGGAAGGAAGAGAAGGGAAATAAAAGATCAGGCTGAATTCAAATTAAAGGCCAGGCGGAATTGCTCTGTCTTACAGGCCTGACGGAAGGGGGTTAAATCCTGCAGGGCCCTAGTCTCATGGGACAGAGCATTCCACCAGGTTGGAGCCATCACTGAAAGGCCCTGGCCCTGGCGGAGGATAGTCTGACTTCCTTAGGGCCCGGGACCTCTAAACTATGGTTATTCACAGACCTTATGGTCCTTGGCGGGGCATACCAGGAGAGGCGGTCCCGTACATACAACAACTGATGAGCTCCTTCTACCGGTCCACAATAGAAAAGTGTCCTTTCATATTGTATCACAGTGTGGTATGCTGGCCTGACAGCCACGGACAGAAAGTCTCTACAGAGGGTGGTGAATACAGCACATGATATCATGGGCTGTCCCTTGAGTCCGCTAGATGACATCGAAAGGATTGTTGCCTTAGGAGAGCGAGAAAAATTCTTAGGGATGACTCACACCCCGGCCATCACCTCTTTAATCTTCTACCCTCGGGCAGGAGATATAGAAGTATAACCAGCCGTACCAACAGGCTAAAAAATGGCTTCTATCCGTGGGCTGTTAGGCTGTTGAATGAAAAACGTAGTGAAACTGACTTGCGAGGTGGTGTGTTGTTTGATAAGAGATTGAGTGGGCAGGGGGCTCGTTTAATTTCATTGTACACAGGTTGTACAATGACAATAAAGGTATTATTATTTAGTCCAGAATCCTATTCCTACAGCGGCTGCCCACATGCCTGTGGCAAACCAGCAAGCAGGATTCGAACACTACCGTTGGTACATCACCCTAAGCTGGCCAAAATGTATAGGTGCCAGGACAAATTATGTTGGAAATGTAAGGTGAAGGAAGGGAACTTCCTACATATGTGGTGGTCCTGTGCTAAGGTTAAGGCTTTTTGGGATATTATCTACAATGAATTAAAAAAGATACTAAAATATAACTTCTGTAAAAAACCAGAGGCATTCCTATTAGGGCTAATTGATGAAGAAATTTATAAAAAAGATGTAAATTTATTTATGTACGCCACAACGGCAGCAAGAATCCTCCTGGCTCAAAGGTGGAAGCAGCAAGAACTCTCTACATTGGAAGACTGGAGAATAAATAGGGTAAAATTTGTGGAGTTGGCGAAGCTGACGGAGAGAATTAGGAATCGGCCCGAAGAAAAATATCAAAAGGACTGGAGCAAATTTATTAATTCCCTGAAAGAAAATTGTACTCATTTAAAAATGTTTGTAGCACTAACTTGAAATGTTTTGTAATGTGAAATTAAGATGTTGATTTGTAAACAGGAATGTGATATTTTAAGGTGATTATAGGATAAAGAAATGATTACGGGAATGTGAAAAATATGCTATAGATTATAGGGATGTCAGAAAGAGAGATAGAAGGAAGTCTCTCATTTTGAGCAAATAATATAAGTTGTGAATATGTGTATTGAACTAAATGAAACACGAAAAAATTCAATAAAAAATATGTTTTAAAAAAATAAATCAGGATTTGAACACAAGAGCCCTCTTCCTTCCTGTGGTTTCCAGCAATTCAGAAGCATTGCTGCCTCTGACCAAAGAGGCAGAGCATAGCCATCAGGGTAAGAAGCCATCGAGAGCACTCTCCTCCATGATTTTCTCCAATCCTCTTTCAAAGCCATCCAAGTGGGGGCCATCACTGCCTCCTGGAGCATTGAGTTCCACAGTTTCAGTATGCGATGCATGAAGAAGTACTTTGTTTAATTTATCCTGACTCCTCCAACAATCATTGGATGTCCACAAGTTCTAGCGATACTCCATTCCATTCCCCGTGGTTTTCAGTTTCCCCATCAGAAGTCAGGGCCTTCTCGGTAGTGGCGCCCGCCCTGTGGAATACCCTCCGATCTGATGTCAAGGGAAAAAACAACTATCCGACTTTTAGAAGACATCTGAAGGCAGCCCTGTACTGTATAGGGATTTTTTAAATGTTTGATGTTTTACTGTGTATTAATTTGCTGGGAGCTGCCCGGAATGGCTGGGGCAAAACAGCCAGATGGGTGGAATAATAATAATAAATAATAATAATGATGATGATGATGATGATGCATTCTGTGTTCACTGATAATAATAATAATAATAATAATAATAATAATGTTGATGATGCATTCTGTGTTCACTGAGAACACTTCCTTCTCAATGGTTTTGTGAAGCTCTCTCCTTTTACAGATCTTTTGTTGTACTTCTGCCAACCTTGGGGTTCTCCTTAACCTGCAGATACATCCCTACTTGTGTGGATGATGCTGTTTTTTCCCCTATACAGTGGTACCTTGGTTCTCAAACTTAATCAATTCTGGAGGTCCATTCCAAAACCAAAGCGTTCCAAAACCAAGGCGTGCTTTCCCATAGAAAGTAATGCAAAATGGATTAATCCATTCCAGACTTTTAAAAACAGCAATTTAACCATGAATCTTACTATCTAACGAGGCCACTGATCCATAAAATGAAAGCAATAAACAATGTACTGCAGTCACACAATCAATCAATCAGTAGCTGAACTGGGTTCCACACAGTCACAAAAAAATAAGAGCCACAAGAACAAAAATGCAAAATAAATAGCAAAAACAGACAGACCTCAGTGTAACTCTCAAAATGGAAGTGTGGCACTCAAATCAGAAGCGTAACACTCAAAACGGAGCACGTTCGGCTTCCGAAAAAGGTTCGCAAACTGGAACACCTACTTCCGGGTTTGCAGTGTTTGGGTTCCAAGTTTCTTGAGTACCAAGGCGTTTGAGAACCAAGGTACCACTGTATAAGGATCCACACTCACCTCTGAACTTTGGAAACAGAGAGAAAGGTTAAGCAACATTTAATAGGGAAGGGTCTTAGCTCAGTGGTGGAGGATCTGGTTTGTATGGTCAAGGTCCTAGGTTCAATCCTAGGTTCATCTTCATGCGGGGCTGGGGAGTTGCTGCCAGCCAGTGTTGACAAGACTAATCTAGATGGACCAAGGGATCCGACTTCCCAGGTTCCTAATGCTTGCTGCTCTCCAAAAACCAGATACCTGGATCACATCCGCTGCAGATTTTTTGCTTCTGTTTTCCTGGGGTGGGTGGATCGGCACGGACTGAAGTGAGGGTGTTGTTCTGTAGCCTGCTTGAGCGAGAAGCGTAAAGTGTGAGAATCTGGTCCATAGGAGAAGAAATAAATCGTAATCATTCTTGGGCTCTAACTCTATAGACATGGGGCAGGCATTTTATTCAGCACAGAGGCCTAGGAAGAGGAAGCAACATGGCTAGCCAAGTGAAGACAAGCCTTTGCTTGGAATATTCCACTGGGAATTCTGTTTGCTTGCAATTCCTCAGCTCCCCTGAACATCAATGGGTGGGAATGAAATTTGGGACACATATCTGGGACACCATTTTTTACATTTCAAGTTCAAATGCCAGCTCAACCTTCCTGCCCCTCCCCCGCCTGCTTTCATAGTGGGGGAAAGCAGAATACAGTGGTGCCTCAGGTTAAGTACTTAATTCGTTCCAGAGGTCCGTTCTTAACCTGAAACTGTTCTTAACCTGAAGCAGCACTTTAGCTAATGGGGCCTCCTGCTGCTGCCGCGCCGCCGGAGCCCGATTTCTGTTCTTATCCTGAAGCAAAGTTCTTAACCTGAGGTAATATTTCTGGGTTAGCGGAGTCTGTAACCTGAAGCGTATGTAACCTGAAGCGTATGTAACCTGAGGTACCACTGTACAGTGCAAAACGCCTTCCACAAATTATATAAACATACACACAACAGCGGAACAGGAATAGGGGTAAGCATCCAAAACGAAGATGTGGACCACCCACCCTTCTATACTACAGTGGGGAGAGAAAGATCTAACCTATATATATCCCGCTTGAAGACAGAAAAAGAGGTTGGCATGCGTACTCAGAATATCACTATTTTAAAAGCACATATCCTTTTGCGCCTCTAGTATAGTCATACCTCTTGTTACGTTCAGTTCAGGTTATGTCTTTTCAGGTTGCGTCCCGCGGCGACCCAGAAGTACCGAAAAGGGTTACTTCCGGGTTTCGCTGCTCGTGCATGCGCAGACGCTCAAATTGACGTCACGCGCATGCACAGAAGTGGCGAATCGTGACCCACGCAGATGCGGGTTGCGTTCTGCTCATGTTGCGAACGAGGCTCTGGAACGGATCCCGTTTGCAACCAGAGGTACCACTGTACATACACCTATCTCCCCTGCATTTCCATTACAGTGGTACCTCAGGTTAAGTATTTAATTCGTTCCGGAGGTCCGTACTTAACCTGAAACTGTTCTTAACCTGAAGCACCACTTTAGCTAATGGGGCCTCCTGCTGCCATCGCGCCACCAGAGCCCGATTTCTGTTCTCATCCTGAAGCAAAGTTCTTAACCTGAAGCACTACGTCTGGGTTAGCGGAGTCTGTAACCTGAAGCGTATGTAACATGAAGCGTATGTAACCTGAGGTACCACTGTATTTTGTCCCTTCAGAGCATGCAGAATTTAAGACGAGCAAAAGTCAGGGATTCAGCAGTTGCCATTTCAAAGGCGTAAAGGAGCAACACAGATCAAATTGGAAAATATATTATGTACAGTGGTACCTCGGGTTAAGTATTTAATTCGTTCTGGAAGTCTGTTCTTAACCTGAAACTGTTCTTAACCTGAAGCACCACTTTAGCTAATGGGGCCTCCTGCTGCCGCTGCGCCACCGGAGCATGATTTCTGTTCTCATCCTGAAGCAAAGTTCTTAACCCGAGGTAATATTTCTGGGTTAGTGGAGTCTGTAACCTGAAGCATATGTAACCTGAAGCGTATGTAACCCGAGGTACCACTGTACAGCAAGATCAACCTCTTCATTCAGCAGTGTTCTTTCATGTCATCTAATGCCCCAGAGACAGCCATTGTCACATACCTATGTCTCCATCTACTTCCACGCAGAGATTCTCTGGAGGAAGAAAAAAATAAGGTTGTAATCGAAACTCGCTTCCTTGAGAGAAAGCCCCATTGAGCTCAGTAAGGACTTACTTCGGGGGGAGGGGGAGAGACATGCATAGTCAAGGAGGGAGGAGAATTAAACTCTCACAATAGATGGGGTGGTAAATGATTGCTATAATTTACGAGACAAAACAATCCTTGTGGTCTGCTGATCTAGGCGACTGAGATGGGATCTTTCTGTAAGAGGAGTCAAGAATGGAACCAAGGGTTTGGATCTGAATTCAGCAGCACAATCTCATGTGTTTGTTCAGAAGTCGGTCTGCCTGGTTCACACACAATACTAAACCATATTTTATTAAACCATGGTTACATGAACCATGGCTTAGCGATATGTATGAACCCAGCCCTAGCTATGGTTTGTTTACTGTCAACAAACCAGTCTGAAACAAAGGTTTGCTGTTAGTAAAGACAAAGCCAAGTTTGTAAGTTTGTAAAGCTTGGCGTTATGTGTAAACCCAGCAGAGTCCCTTAACCATGGTTTGATTCACCACACCAGCTGCTGGCGCTCACCAAACCACAAAGAAACGAGGCGAAAGCAGCTGGAGACAAACCTAACTTTGGAGAAACAAGTGATCTGTGGCTTAGCATGGTGGGCAAACCATATCAGCTCATAACGCAACTCTCCCAGCAGAGCTTTTCAGAAAATAACCCTCAAGCTGCCCAGCAAACTAGGTTTTTCGTGTGTTTTTTTAACATTTGGAATATCAGAGATGAGGAGAGTTGTAGCCCAACAACATCTAAAGAGCACCATGCTGGCAGACTCAAAAAGCCACAAAAATCAACCCCACCCACACGGCTACTGGTATCATGCAAATAACACAAGTCCCATGAGGCAGAGTTGCAGCAAGACTCCTGTTTACCTTTGAATCGCAGCAGCGCCTCCTGCAGCATGGCCCGTTTCCTGGAGAAGTTGCTGAGTCTCTGCTTTAGCCCTGCTACAGCGAGGTCTGTCTCCAACATGCCATCTTCCATGCTGAAAGGTGAGGAAGATGAGAGATGATCCCAAAACCCAACATCCATTTCTCTGCTTGTTACAAACCCAGCAGAGATGCAGAGGGAAGGGGCCAATATTTACCTGCTCCTTGTTCTTCCAACACCCTAAAAGGAAAGATAAAAAGAGGTTTATGCGCACGTGAGTCAGGGAAGCATACCTACCAGAATGCGGCAGCTAGACTGGTGACTGGGAGTGGCTGCCGAGGCCATATAACACCAGTCCTGAAAGAACTACATTGGCCCCAGTACGTTTCCGAGCACGATTCAAAGTGTTGGTGCTGACAGGGCTTTTTTTCAGCTGGAACTAAACTAAACCCCTAAACGGCCTCAGTCCAGTATACCTGAAGGAGCATCTACACCTCCATCGTTCAGCCCGGACACTGAGGTCCAGCTCTGAGGGCCTTCTGGCAGTTCCCTCACTATGAGAAGCACAGTTACAGGGAACCAGGCAGAGGGCCTTCTCGGTAGTGGCACCCACCCTGTGGAACACCCTCCCATTAGATGTCAAGGAAACAAACAACTATCTGACTTTTAGAAAACATCTGAAGGTAGCCCTGTTTAGGGAAGTTTTTAATGTTTGATGGCTTTATTAATCATCATCATCATCTGTTGGGAGCTGCCCAGAGTGTCTGGGGTATAAAAATATATTACTACTACTACTACTACTATGATTTTTATTACTGCAAAGCCACAAATATGGACCGTTACAAAAAATGGCAATCACTGGGCCACTGTTAAAAGTACAACAGCTCTACTAAAAGTAGGAACCAGCTTCCGAATTGAATGAGACACTCATGCTACATTCAGACGTAATAAAACACAAACACAATTATAGTATTATTATTTAAATCACCAGCATGTTTCAACCAGGAAAAAGCACCTGGTTGGCGCTTTAGCCCCGGGTTCCCCAGCCCTGTTGCAGAACTTACAGGCGACACTTGGCCGCGCTCCCTGTACGGTTCCTGCTGCAGAGGATCCTCACTGAGCGTTTTGGGGGCTCCCTGGGCGATGTCTCTCTTGAGTTCTTCCCAATGGTTCCGCAAATGCCTCTCCTGCTCCTCCAAAAAGCCACACAGCTCCTTCCATTGCTGGGTAAGCTGCTGTCCTTCCACTTCCGCCTGCTTCTGCAGTGACAGGATCAAGCAAAACAAATCGAGCGTGTGGCAAAGGAGAGTTCCTGGAAGAATCGCCAAGGCAGCATTCCCCGGCGTAGCTCTCAGGCCTTTCAACAGCTGCCTGGCAAGCAAGAATTCAGTAGGCAAGGCTCCTCCTAACACACAGTTAACCTGCGGGGAAACTCCCCAGGCTAAATTTCTACCTGCAACATGCAGCAGCCAGCAGAGATGGGGAACCGGGAGCTGTTCAGGTGGAACAGGAAAGATCTACTGGATGCAGCCAGCATGGCCAATGGTCAGAGATGGTGTGGGAAGCTGTGATGGACTGGCTGGATACAGAAGAGTGGTGAGAGGCACCTGCCGGGGAACCCCCAGGGGAAGAAGACTAAGAGCCAGGGGAGTGGTGACAATGGGGGCGAAGAGGGAGCAAACTGGGAGATGGTGGTGTCAGAAGCTGAAGGGGCAACAGGATTCAGTGAGCAAGAAGAGGCTGTGGCAGACAGCAGTTCAGAATCAGAACCTCGCAACTCATTCAGGAAAGGTCTACTGGGAAGAGTTGCTGCTAGGCCTGTGCTGTTTTGGTTTCTTTGAATAAAGGGTTGACTCCACTGACACTAAAGGTAAAGGTAAAGGGACCCCTGACCATTAGGTCCAGTCGTGGCCGACTCTGGGGTTGCGGTGCTCATCTTGCTTCATTGGCAGAGTGAGCCGGTGTACAGCTTCCGGGTCATGTGGCCAGCATGATCAAGCCGCTTCTGGCGAACCAGAGCAGCGCATGGAAATGCCATTTACCTTCCCGCTGGAGCGGTACCTATTTATCTACTTGCACTTTGATGTGCTTTCGAACTGCTAGGTTGGCAGGAGCAGGGACCGAGCAACCGGAGCTCACCCCTTCACGGGGATTCGAACTGCCGACCTTCTGATCAGCACGTCCTAGGCTCTGCGGTTTAACCCACAGCGCCACCCGTGTCCTCACTACTGTTCATTTATTGCTGACCCACTCCCGGCTCCAGCTCCTAACGATGAACACCCAGAGCCCCAGGCTCCCTGTCTCTGAGTTAGAGCATCAGGACAAAGACAGGTCCAAACGCCCTCTCAGAGCCACGGAGTTCATTGGGAGACCTTGAGCCAGTCTCCATCTCTCAGCCTAACCTACCTCACAGGGTTGTTGTGAGGGTGGCAAGAGATGGCGGGGAATTGCACACTTCCCTGAGTTCCTTGAAAGAACACTGGTGTGTGTGTGTGTGTGTGTGTGTGTGAACACTCGGGTTGCGAACGTGATCTGTGCATGTTTGCAACCAGCAGCGTTCGCAACTTGCAGCAGCGCGTCTGCGCATGCGCGGGTTGCGATTCGGTGCTTCAACCATATGTCAGGAGTGCTCTGATGGTGTTTCCTGCTTGGCAGGGGGTTGGACTCGATGGCCCTTGTGGTCTCTTCCAACTCTATGATTCTATGCTTCTGTGCATGCGCAAAGTGCAATTTAGCGCTTCTGCACATGTGCGACCGCCGAAACCCAGAAGTAACCCGTTCCGGTACTTCCGGGTTTTGGCGGACCGTAACCCAAAAAAACACAGCCTGAAGCATCTGTAACCCGAGGTGTGACTGTATAGAATTCACCAAGGGTGGCCGTTAATTGCTGTACAGAAGAGGAAATTTGTCGTGCAAGTGACGTTTTTGCCTACTTGCAAATCTCATTTGAAATACCTACCAGCAGCTCCTCTCTCTGCTTCTCTTCAATGGTGCTGGCTTCTCTCTCCAGTTTCAGACCAGACTGGTCCACCACCAGCTTACCCTGAAAGACAGATGTGGTTAGTTTTGTGAACAGCTGCACAACGCGCTGCCAACTCTCAACACCACGCCGTGCTCTCACGTCTTTAGCAAATCTCTGCTGATTTCGAATGTTCAGGGTGCTGTTATCAGCGGAGGAGCAGGCTAGGCGGTTTTATTTCTCTGGTCACGTAGCAACCCTGGCTATAAGACGTTTCATAGATCACCTGCGGGAGCCTGATGAGTGGTTCCTACGTCAATGAGAAATTGTTCCTTCAATGTCAAGGTAAAGGGATCCCTGACTGTTAAGTCCAGTCGCGAACGACTCTGGGGTTGCGACGCTCATCTCGCTTTACAGGCCAAGACCATGAATTCTATTCTAATTCTCTGATGCTTTAAATTTTGCACATTGCATGTTTTGCTTATTTAATTATTTGTAAGCTGCTTTGACAGGCATATGAAAAGCAGGGCATGATTTTTAAATAAATTCCAGCAGTTTGTGGTGATCCTTGGACCTGTTTGCCACTGCTCAGGGGACCACCATTCTGGCTGCAACACTATAAACCAGAGATGAAGAACCAGTAGTCCTCCAGACATTGTCGGACTCCAACTCCCATCAGCCCCAGCTAGCATAGCCAAGGGTCGGCGATGATGGAAGTTGGAGTCCAATAACACCTGGAGAGCCACAGATCAGCTCCCTTGCTAGGCACACTTATCTGAAAGGAATCCCTATTGAAAGCAAAACAATTTACATCTGACCAGACATGTAAGGTTAGCATTAGTCAAGGCTTGTTTGGATCAGGCTGCAGCTTACAGCTCAGAGGCATCTTAATAAGCAATAGGTAGGGGAAGCCCAGGATGTTGTGAAGAAGGAGTTCCCCATGGCAGGTAAAAGCATCATTCACCCAAAGCTCCTCCAGACATTTGCTTATGTATAGACTTTGATCACAGTGATGGATACCAGCAAGGCAAGGTTATTTGTTCCCTTAACCCAATAATGTCTTTGCATTTTATTTTTTTAAAAACAACACATAATGACAATATTGCTGCTGGCTTAAAATGCTGCCCAGTTTTTCAGCAAAAATCAGAGCCAAAACAGAATTTTGTAAACCCTGGCAGGTTGAGGCCAAGAGCTTATCTCAGGCATAGGCAAACTCGGCCCACCAGATGTTTTGGGACTACAATTCCCATCATCCCTGACCACTGTTAGCTAGGGATGATGGGAGTTGTAGTCCCAAAACATCTGGAGGGCCGCGTTTGCCTATGCCTGGCTTATCTGGTCCAGGAGTCTGCCCTCACAGGGGCCAAGCCTCTTGGAAGCCAGCAAACAGACCTGGGGAGAACAGCAGCCGTTCTCCCCGCTTGCAATTCCCAGTATACTGCCTCTGACAGCGGGAGACAGAGCAAAGCCATTGTTCTTTTGTTTTATGGCTCAGGACACTTCATTGCCAAGTGACCCGGATACCCCCCCCCCCCAAAAGAAACAAATACTATTATAGACATCTAGACGCGTGCTTTTTCTGTTTCTTTTCAACGACAGCTGGAAGCTTTTGAGATCCTGGCGACTGCAGCCGCTTCCCAGCTTCAACACAGACACGTCCAAAGCATAGCTGTCAACTTTCCCCTTTTTTAAAGGGGAATTTCCTTATTCCGAATAGGATTCCTCGCAAGAAAAGGGAAAAGTTGACAGCTAGGGTCCAAAGGCTGGAAGCAAGAGGCAGACCTCAACCCCCACAACCCCTCCCCCCGCCCCGCAGGACCACCGAGGTTTCTTAAACCCCGCCACGCAGCTTCCACCCACCCCATCCCGGAGTATCTTTCCTGCTCACAGACATTCCCCCAAACACCCCCGCCGCCGTTCCCACGATCGAGGCCGAACCAGGCGCAATGCTGGACGACGATCCTCCGTCCACGCAAGCGGGGGGTCTCTCTCCCTCCAGAGGCGGCAGAGGGGGGCCGCGGCGGGGGCTCCGGAGGCGCTCCGCCAGGCTGCCCAAAAGCGGGCAGGGCTGCAGCAGGCGATGCAGCGGGAGCAGCTGCCGGCAGAGCGGGCAGCGCAGGCTCCTCTCCAGCTGCCCCCAGCAGCGGCTCACGCAGGCCCGGCACAGGTTGTGGCCGCAGCCGGACACCATCACCGGGTCCCGGAAAAGGTCCAGGCACACGGGGCAAGAGAGCGCGCCCCGAAGGCCTCCCAGATCGGCCATGGCCGCAGTTTGGAAAGCACAAAAGGATCCCTGGGAAACAGGGTGGGATTTGGGGAGGTGGGCGGGGCCTCCTGTTAGCCCCGCCCTTTCGGGTGGAGGTGCTTAAGGGGGCGTGGCAGGCACCGCCGCCGCTCAGTTTTCATCGTTTCCGCCACGTCCGAGCTTTGCGATCGCTTAGTGCGCTTTGGAATTTGGGAAGCACGCGGCTGGATCAGGCCAATGGCCCAGCCAAGGCCAGTCAGTGCCGGATTTACGTATAAGCTAAACAAGCTATAGCTTAGGTCGGGGATCCCCAAAAAATTTAAAGGGAAAAAAACCTGGATGTACAAAATATAAGATAACAAAACAAAAAGAAAATCCCACAATTGCATTGTACAGGTTAAAACACTTGAGTTCATATTAATAAAGCTATAGTTATTAGTAGTTTGCATCCTATATTTACCTCTATTATTTCATGTTATAGCAAGTTTCTAGAGACCAGTCTTTGTAAACTGTGTTTCTCAAGGAACTTTTGTTATTGCCAAATGCCAATGTGTTTGCATTATTAAGGTTTGTTATGAATAAAGAATAATTTTAAGTTAGAGCTTAATCATTATTTCACTATTAAGATACTTCTTAATTGTATTGCAGTTCAACAATTACTTTGATAAAATACATATTTTCTTATCTGCAAATGGCTTTAGATACCTATTAGGTCCATCAATTACCCTATAGCATATATTCAACACAAAAAACAGTGGCAATTTGTTTTTGACAATTTGTTGTTGACAAAGGACAGCTGGACATTTAAAGGGCCCCATTACCTTCAGGAGCTTAGGGCCTCATGAAATCTAAATCTGGCCCTGGCCAGCATCCTGATCTTGCAGTGGCCGACCAGTGGGAAACCAGTGAGCGGAGCAGGAGCACAAGGGCAACCTCCCCTCCTGTGTTTTCCTGCAACTGGAATAGAGAAGCATTACTGCCTCTCAATGCCAGAGGCAGAGCGTAGCCTTCATGGCTAGTAGCCTTCATGGCTAGTAGCCATGGATGCCTTTCGCTCCATGAATCCCCTTTTAAAGCCTTCCAAGTTGGGGGTCCGTTGCTGCTTCCTGGGCACGCGAGTTCCACCGTTTGAGAGGGAAAGGGATGCTTTGGCAGATCATAACAATACTCTAATGGTCTAAACCACTGAGCCTCTTGGGCTTGCCGATCAGAAGGTTGGCAGTTCAAATCCCCGCGATGGGATGAGCTCCCGTTGCTCAGTCCCTGCTCCTGCCAACCTAGCAGTTCAAAAGCATGTCAAAGTGCAAGTAGATAAATAGGTACCACTCCAGCGGGAAGGTAAACGGCGTTTCCATGCGCTGCTCTGGTTTGCCAAAAGCGGCTTAGTCATGCTGGCCACATGACCCGGAAGCTGTACGCCAGCTCCCTCGGCCAATAAAGCGAGATGAGCGCTGCAACCCTAGAATCATCCGCGACGGGACCTAACGGTCAGAGGTCCCTTTACCTTTAACAATGCTTAACAAAACAAGTGGCAAACACGCAACCTCTGAATAAGGGTTGTGAGAGAAGCAGCAATGGGAGAGAGGGCTGCTGCTTCCCCGGGCCATTTATAGAATAAAAACCGATTGGTCCTTAATTTGAAGGCACTATCAGACAATTCCTGTGAACTGGACAACGAAAGTGCCAAGAAAAAATGTATACTGCCATCTATTGGCAAAGGTACTTATTTGCAATTACAATAAAACTGGAGCAAAACCGACAAAGAATCTTGCGGTGCTTTAAAAATGAACCAAGTTTAAACTTCCATTGGCTATTTATTTATTTACTATGTTTATATCCCTCCTGCAAGGAGATCAAGGCAGTACACATGGTTCTCACCTTTCCATTTTATCTTCACAACAACCCGGTGGGGTAGGGTTAGAGACTGAGAGATTGGCTGGCCCAAGGTCATGGCTGAGCAGGGATTTGAACCCTGGTCCTAGAGTCCATTTTATCAGATGGAATAGAGTAGAATTTCCTGATTACCGTAATTGTAAGCCAGCAGTTTCACACTGGAGCTATTGTAACAACAACAACAAATATTTTTATATATTTGCCCCTGACGGGACTCAAGGCAATTTACAGATTCATCTCATAATCGTGGGTGACTACAAAATATAGAGTAAGGGAGAAAGAGATTTGGGAGCCTGATTCACTTCCACTGACAAGCCACATGTGGAGAGAACTAATTTGCTGGAAATGTTTGGATAGGGAGGTTTTTCACTCTTTGCAGGAGTTCAGCTCCTGAGGGCCAAGTTGTTGTTGTTGTTGTTGCCAAGTTGTTGTTGTTGTTGGTGGTGGTGGTGGTTCTATTATTCCTCCATTAACTGCCCTGCTGGAGATAAACCTGCCTCATTCCTGGGTTAAGTACTCTTTCTCATAATGGCTATGCATTGGCCTGTCTGAAGACCCCAGATCTTCTGGCTGTAGAGATTACTTAAATAACAAAAGAGAACCGCTGAAAGGCAAGACAAACTAAGCAGGAAAGGCTGGTGTCTTCCTCTTTATTGTTCTGTGCTCTTCATAAAATAATTCAGGGTCACCTCAAGAATCAGCCATTAGTGAGTTTTTAAAACTTCCCTTTTGTAACCTGAGGCTCTGGATTAATTTTGATACTGTCTTTAAGTATCAGGGGCCAGGGAGAAAGTGTAGAAACTTTAGGCTCCAGTTCTCCTGATTTGCCCAAGCTTTCTTTATCCTGTTGGCTTTAGGTCCTATTTGTGGTAGTAAATAAGCACCTTTGTTTTGCCTCCATCATGCATTCTGGGGATGTTAAAAAATATATATACCAGTATCTTCAGGTGAGTTGCTAGAGGTTTTCCACCCCCTCCCTCAGTAAAGTAGAAAAACATCTAATATCATCTAGTCCACTATTCTGTTCCCTCCTCTGACAGCTACAGGATTCAGGGAAGCCCCTGCCAACCAGAGTTCCCTGGGAAGAGGGACTGATTGTTAATCTGCTCTGGGAATTGTAGGTCTGCGAAGGGCTCCTAACGACTCTCAGCACCCTTCACACGCTACAGTTCCCTGGGGAAAGTTATGACTCTTTAAAGTGACATTGTACTGCTCTAAATGTAGAGTGCAGATGGGCCCTTAGTGGCAGAGTGTATGCTAGGGTTGCCGTATAGTGGGGATTTGGCCATTGGGAATCACTTTGGTCAACAAAACTTTGCCTGGAAAAGCTCAACATTTGTGTCCGGATTTTTCATTTTTTGAAATATTGCAACACTAGCACATGCTCTGCAGACAGAAGGTCCCAAATTTGATCCTAGGTCTCTCCAGGGAAAAGGATCAGGTAGCAAGCAATAAGAGAGGCCTCAGGGTGAGACTCTGGAGATCTGACCCAGGGATGGGGGAACCTGTGTGGAACTCCAGGTGTTGCTGGACTACAGCTGCCAATAATCCCTGACAGTTGACCTCAGCTAATGAGCGTTGGAGGCGATCAGCCTCTGGAGGGCCACCAGAATGTGACATCTGCCACATTCTCATGAGCAACCGTGGTGTAATGCATTTCTCTGAGAATGCTGCTCTAGACCAGGCATCCCCAACCTTCAGCCCTCCAGATGTTTTGGATGACAATTCCCATCATCCCTGACCACTGGTCCTGTTAGCTAAGGATCATGGGAGTTGTAGGCCAAAACATCTGGAGGGCCGCAGGTTGGGTATGCCTGCTCTAGACCCACAGCAGAGGGTGGAGTGGGGCTTGTTATTTCACTCTATTTTTTCTTATTATCTCCTTTGACATTCCTCTCTCTCATTCTGAAAGCTCAGTTAAGAAGAAGAAGAGGAGTTTGGATTTGATATCCCGCCTTTCACTCCCTTTAAGGAGTCTCAAAGCGGCTAACATTCTCCTTTCCCTTCCTCCCCCACAACAAACACTCTGTGAGGTGAGTGGGGCTGAGAGACTTCAGAGAAGTGTGACTGGCCCAAGGTCACCCAGCAGCTGCAGGTGGAGGAGCAGGGAAGCGAACCCAGTTCCCCAGATTACGAGACTACCGCTCTTAACCACTACACCACAGTGAATAAAACATTTGGAAGGCCGCAAGTTCCTCATCTCTTGAGTTCATAATACTGGGCTAAATGGACAAACCATCTAACCTAGCATAAAGCTTATGTGTAGTTCATCACTTTTACAGTGTTTTGTATGTGTTTATATCAATAAATTTTTTTACATTAAAAAAGCAGTTTTTGACACTTAAAAGGATTAGCATTAAAAAATTTTGACTGCTTTGTAACATTTTAATTTTTAAAAAATCTAACCTTAAAAGAAGCTTGTGTGTGGCAGTGGCTACACAGGCATGATTGAGTTTATACTACTGCTCTGTCTCTTGAGTGGCTGGGGAAGCCCAGCCAGATGGACGGGGTATAAATAATAAATTATTTTATTATTATTATTATTATTATTATTATTATTATGAAGGTTGGACCATGTTCCACTCAGCCTCCTTTTCACTGATGGCTCCATGACATGTGGCCTTTTCAGCAAACAGGTAAAAATACTTGCTTTATGCTCCCAGGCTTCTAAATAAACATTTTAGGATGTCTTCGATCTTTTACGTCACTGCTATCCACAGCAGTTTTTTATTCTGCTTTAGGTATTACAGTCGTACCTCGGACGTTGAACGGAATCTGTTCTGGAAGTCCATTCAACTTCCAAAATGTTTGACTTCCAAGGCGTGGCTTCCTATTGGCTGCAGGAGCTTCCTGCAGCCAATTGGAAGCCGCGGAAGCCCCGTTGGATGTTCAGCTTCCAAAGAACATTCGCAAACCGGAACACTCACTTCTGGGTTTGCGGCATTCAGGAACAAAAACATTTGACTGCTAAGGCGTTTGTCAACCAAGGTACAACTGTATATTTTCCATGTCACGGTTATAACATTGTACAGTCAGCTAGAAAACCTCACTGGTTGAGTGGTAAAAAAAATGTAGGAAATAAATAAGTAAAAACAGACCTGTGAGGGGTATGGCCTGGGGAGAATTCTGAGGGCCAGATAGGGGGACGCAGAGGGCCGCATTCAGCCTTGGAATCTGAGGCACTGTATACCTCTTACTACCAAGGACAGATGAGATATGACTCTTGATAATGGCCAGAATATGAACTTGCTGAGGTGGCTGAGCTGCTTGCTCTCAAGACAGAATGTCAACAAAGAAAGGGCAGGTGTCTGGTTCAATCCAGGAAAAATTCCTGCCCAAAAGTCTATACTAAGCCAGACAGGTTAATGGTCTGACTTAGCACAAAGTAGCTCCCCAAGTTTCCATGGACCAACAGTATAAACCTGTGATGTATTTTTGTGTGACAGAGGCAAAGACACTGATCTGTATGGAACAGGTTTTTATTCAGGCGGAATTTGCGTTTTCCTACATCCACATGTGTTAAAAGGCCATTAAGGGAGAGCCCATCAGGACTGAATTTCTTGTCGGAAGGGCAGAAGGTGTACGGTCTCACCAAGCTTTGCTCTGTGGCAGATAATGGACTACAACTCCCCATCAGCCCCAGCCAGCATGGCCAATGGTCAGGGGTGATGGAAGTTGTAGTCCACCAAACATCTGGAGGACCAAAGCCCCCCTCTATCCTTGCTCTAACACTGGGTGTATGAAGTAGGAGAACAAAAGCGCACAGAATAAATCCCCAACTTGGAATCGGGGCGAGGTGGTCGTTTTTTTCAGATACCCTCTTCCCACTTCGGAGGTTATTTGTGCCATGGATAGGGGTGGCTGGTGCAGAAGCGGCGGGGGTTCTTATCAGGAAAACGACATTTAAAAATTTTGACCAAGAGATTTTCAAGAACTAACAACCAGACAACAGCCGGGTCAGGCAAGTTGTGTCACATACAGACAAAGGAGGACGTAGGCTGGATTAAAAAAACAGTCTTACTTTATGGAGGAGCAAAAAAATGTCTTTCAGATCAGAATAGTGGTCACAGTGCAGATGGGAGTGGGGGTGGCGTTTCTCAGCCCAGAATCCCTTCTCAACGGCTGCATGACGTGAGAGACAAGGTCAGGCCAAAAAAGCCCATCAGTGGCAGAGCAGGGATCTGTATACCCCTTCCCAGCAGACCTGCCAAAGCAAGCTTGATATTTTGGACGCATTGGAAGGGATGAAAGCACACATGGGAAAGCCACTGGAGATAAAGTCGTTCTTTCCTCCCTGCCTGCCTGCCAAGGCTCAGGAAGGCCAATATCCCTCCTAATCATCTTGCCAAGGGGCCGGGCCCATATCGGCTTCCACTGTCCTTTCACCATATAGAGTTTTGGGGCTCAAACCGCCCCGCCCCAGGTTCCTGGTGCAACTGGGAGAGATGCAAGAAGGAACAAGCTAGCATAGTTCTGAGTCAGGGTGTGGCTGTCGCAAGAGTTTGCTTGGGAGCCTGATCAAAACAGCAGCCAAAGTCACAGCACGCATGTGTGCCGATAGCAGTCTCAGCTTAGGTTGGTCTGTTGCGCCAAGCAGGTGCCCTCGGAGCTGACCTCTCCAGGAGAAGGGAGAGGCTGCCCCTCAACCAAACAGCCCAGTCACACAGCTCCCGACTGGTGCTTGTACTTCCTGTGCAGAATGAGCAAGTTCTTGCGCAGGAACATCTGCCCACAGTCGGCGCAGGTGTACGTCTCCTTCCCGCTGTGCATCTGCCAGTGCATGGCGAGGCTGCGGCTGAACCAGAAGCTCTGCCCGCACAGCCCGCAAAGGTGGGGACTCTCCTGGCTGTGGGTTCTCCTGTGCCTGTTGAGGTTGGAGCTCGCGCTGCAGCGAAAGTCGCAGTCGGGGCATTTGAACGGCTTCTCCCCCGTGTGGATTCGCGTGTGGACGGTCCGGGCATGTTCAGAAGGGAAGCCTTTCCCACAGTGAGTGCACAGAAAGGGCCTCCTCTTGTGTGCGTTCTCGTGTCTCACAAGCTGGTCTTGGTTCTCGAACAACAGGTGACAGTAGCTGCACTCATACCTCGGCTCTGTTTCCTCTGATTTCCACTCCCTGGGAACACCCTCGTCCCGAGAAGCTGGGCTTTGGGGTTCTGCTGCCATCGGAGTCTGTGGCTCATCACTGCCTCTCTCCTTCTTGCAGATCTGCAGAGATGTGTTACCTGCTTCTCCGGACAGTGTCAGCTGCACTTTGGGCTGCTGATGGACATTCTGGAGTTCATTTGCAGCTTGGGCTCTTTCGCAGCTCTGCAAAGGGCTCCTTTCAGGCAAGGGTGACAACTCCGGCAGGTCTTCTTGCCCAACGATATCAAGGGCATCGCAGTTTCCTGCCGTGCTACTCCCAGAGTCTGAGTTGCCTTTGGGGGAAGCAGCTGTGTGTTGGTTCCTTTGAGGGCCGCTGCAAGTTTCTACCTCCTTGCAGGCCTCTGGGGAGCTGGGGTTCCATCTTGGCCACATCTCCATGTTCTGAAGAGACGCATTCTGGAGTTCATCTGCAGCTTGGGCTCTTTCACAACTCTGCACAGGGCTTCTTCCAGGCAAGGGTGACAACTCCTGCAGGTCTTCTTGCTCACCGATGACAACAACATCATATTCTCCTGACGTGCAACTCCCAGTTTCCGAGTTGCCTTTGCATTCCCTATCCAGCACTTTTTTTGGCCCCTTCTTGGATGGAGCAGTGGTCAACATCTCTAGTGTGGCACTTCTGATAGTCTCTGGTTCGGCTTTTAAGGAGAACGTTGTCTGGGATGGCAGGCAGAAGCTCCATTCTCCTGGTTCACAGTCCTTTAGGGAACTTCTGAGCAAACTGGAGGAAGCAGCTGTGTGTTGGTTCCTTTGAGGGCCGCGGCAAGTTTCTACCTCCTTGAAGGCCCCTGGGGAGCTGCGTTTCCATCTTGGCATCTCCTCCATGTTCTGAAGAGACGCATTCTGGAGTTCATCTGCAGCTTGGGCTCTTTCACAACTCTGCAAAGGGCTTCTTTCAGCCAAGGGTGACAACTCCTGCAGGTCTTCTTGCCCACCGATGACAACAACATCATATTCTCCTGACGTGCAACTCCCAGAGTCTGAGTTGCCTTTGGGGGAAGCAGCTGTGTGTTGGTTCCTTTGAGGGCCACAGCAAGTTTCTACCTCCTTGCAGGCCTCTGGGGAGCTGGGGTTCCATCTTGGCCGCATCTCCATGTTCTGAAGAGACGCATTCTGGAGTTCATCTGCAGCTTGGGTTCTTTCACAACTCTGCACAGGGCTTCTTCCAGGCAAGGGTGACAACTCCGGCAGGTCTTCTTGCCCACCGATGACAACAACATCATATTCTCCTGACGTGCAACTCCCAGTTTCTGAGTTGCCTTCGGATTCCCTTTCCAGCCCTTCCCTTGGCCCCTTCTTCAATGCAGCAGTGGTCAACATCTCTAGTGTGGCACTTCTGATAGTCTCCGGTTCGGATTTTGTGGAGAACGTTGTCTGGGGTGGCAAGCAGAAGCTCCATTCTCCTGGTTCACAGTCCTTTGGGGAACTTCTGAGCAAACTGGAGGAAGCAGCTGTGTGTTGGTTCCTTTGAGGGCCACTGCAAGTTTCTACCTCCTTGCAGGCCTCTGGGGAGCTGCGTTTCCATCTTGGCCACATCTCCATCTTCTGAAGAGATGCATTCTGGAGTTCATCTGTAGGTTGGGCTCTTTTACAACTCTGCAGAGGGCTTCTTTCAGGCAAGGGTGACAATGGTGGCAGGTCTTCTTGCCCACCGATGGAAACAGCATCATATTCTCCTGACGTGCAACTCCCAGTTTCTGAGTTGCCTTTGGGGGAAGCAGCTGTGTGTTGGTTCCTTTGAGGGCCGCTGAAAGTTTCTACCTCCTTGCAGGCCTCTGGGGAGCTGGGGTTCCATCTTGGCCACATCTCCATGTTCTGAAGAGACGCATTCTGGAGTTCATCTGCAGCTTGGGTTCTTTCGCAACTCTGCAAAGGGCTTCTTTCAGGCAAGGGTGACCACTCCGGCAGGTCTTCTTGCCCACCGATATCACGGGCATCGTAGTTTACTGCCGTGCTACTCCCAGAGTCTGAGTTGCATTTGGGGGAGCAGCTGTGTCTTCTTCCCCTCTGATGGAAACAGCATCATATTCTCCTGACGTGCAACTCCCAGTTTCTGAGTTGCCTTCGGATTCCCTTTCCAGCCCTTCCCTTGGCCCCTTCTTCAATGCAGCAGTGGTCAACATCTCTAGTGTGGCACTTCTGATAGTCTCTGGTTCGGATTTTGTGGAGAACGTTGTCTGGGATGGCAGGCAGAAGCTCAGTTCTGCTGGTTCACAGACCTTTGGAGAACTTCTGAGCAAACTGGAGGATGTAGCTGTGTGTTGGTTCCTTTGAGGGCCACAGCAAGTTTCTACCTCCTTGCAGGCCTCTGGGGAGCTGGGGTTCCATCTTGGCCACATCTCCATGTTCTGAAGAGATGCATTCTGGAGTTCATCTGCAGCTTGGGCTCTTTCACAACTCTGCACAGGGCTTCTTCCAGGCAAGGGTGACAACTCGTGGCAGGTCTTCTTGCCCACCGATGGACAACAACATCATATTCTCCTGACGTGCAACTCCCAGTTTCTGAGTTGCCTTCGGATTCCATTTCCAGCCCTTCCCTTGGCCCCTTCTTCAATGCAGCAGTGGTCAACATCTCTAGTGCAGCACTTCTGATATTCTCCGGTTCGGATTTTGTGGAGAACGTTGCCTGGGGTGGCAAGCAGAAGCTCCATTCTCCTGGTTCACAGTCCTTTGGGGAACCTCTGAGCAAACTGAAGGATGTAGCTGTGTGTTGGTTCCTTTGAGGGCCGCTGCAAGTTTCTACCTCCTTGCAGGCCTCTGGGGAGCTGGGGTTCCATCTTGGCCACATCTCCATGTTCTGAAGAGACGCATTCTGGAGTTCATCTGCAGCTTGGGCTCTTTCACAACTCTGCAGAGGGCTTCTTTCAGGCAAGGGTGACAATGGTGGCAGGTCTTCTTGCCCACCGATGGAAACAGCATCATATTCTCCTGACTTGCAACTCCCAGTTTCTGAGTTGCCTATGGGGGAAGCAGCTGTGTGTTGGTTCCTTTGAGGGCCGCTGAAAGTTTCTACCTCCTTGCAGGCCTCTGGGGAGCTGGGGTTCCATCTTGGCCACATCTCCATGTTCTGAAGAGACGCATTCTGGAGTTCATCTGCAGCTTGGGTTCTTTCGCAACTCTGCAAAGGGCTTCTTTCAGGCAAGGGTGACCACTCCGGCAGGTCTTCTTGCCCACCGATATCACGGGCATCGTAGTTTACTGCCGTGCTACTCCCAGAGTCTGAGTTGCATTTGGGGGAAGCAGCTGTGTCTTCTTCCCCTCTGATGGAAACAGCATCATATTCTCCTGACGTGCAACTCCCAGTTTCTGAGTTGCCTTCGGATTCCCTTTCCAGCCCTTCCCTTGGCCCCTTCTTCAATGCAGCAGTGGTCAACATCTCTAGTGTGGCACTTCTGATAGTCTCTGGTTCGGATTTTGTGGAGAACATTGTCTGGGATGGCAGGCAGAAGCTCAGTTCTGCTGGTTCACAGCCCTTTGGGGAGCCTCTGAGCAAAGTGGAGGATGTAGCTGTGTGTTGGTTCCTTTGAGGGCCACAGCAAGTTTCTACCTCCTTGCAGGCCTCTGGGGAGCTGGGGTTCCATCTTGGCCACATCTCCATGTTCTGAAGAGACGCATTCTGGAGTTCATCTGCAGGTTGGGCTCTTTCGCAACTCTGCAAAGGGCTTCTTTCAGGCAATGGTGACAACTCCGGCAGGTCTTCTTGCCCACCGATGGAAACAGCATCATATTCTCCTGATGTGCAACTCCCAGTTTCCGAGTTGCCTATGGGGGAAGCAGCTGTGTGTTGGTTCCTTTGAGGGCCACAGCAAGTTTCTACCTCCTTGCAGGCCTCTGGGGAGCTGGGGTTCCATCTTGGGCACATCTCCATGTTCTGAAGAGACGCATTCTGGAGTTCATCTGTAGGTTGGGCTCTTTTACAACTCTGCAGAGGGCTTCTTTCAGGCAAGGGTGACAATGGTGGCAGGTCTTCTTGCCCACCGATGGAAACAGCATCATATTCTCCTGACGTGCAACTCCCAGAGTCTGAGTTGCCTTTGGGGGAAGCAGCTGTGTGTTGCTTCTTTTGAGGGCTGCTGCAAGTTTCTACCTCCTTGCAGGCCTCTGGGGAGCTGCGTTTCCATCTTGGCCACATCTCCATCTTCTGAAGAGACGCATTCTGGAGTTCATCTGCAGGTTGAGCTCTTTCACAACTCTGCAAGGGGCTTCTTTCAGGCAAGGGTGACAACTCCTGCAGGTCTTCTTGCCCACCGATGGAAACAGCATCATATTCTCCTGACGTGCAACTCCCAGAGTCTGAGTTGCCTTTGGGGGAAGCAGCTGTGTGTTGCTTCTTTTGAGGGCTGCTGCAAGTTTCTACCTCCTTGCAGGCCTCTGGGGAGCTGGGGTTCCATCTTGGCCACATCTCCATGTTCTGAAGAGACGCATTCTGGAGTTCATCTGCAGCTTGGGTTCTTTCGCAACTCTGCAAAGGGCTTCTTTCAGGCAAGGGTGACAACTCCGGCAGGTCTTCTTGCCCACCGATATCACGGGCATCGTAGTTTACTGCCGTGCTACTCCCAGAGTCTGAGTTGCCATTGGGGGAAGCAGCTGTGTCTTCTTCCCCTCTGATGGCAACAGCATTATATTCTCCTGACGTGCAACTCCCAGTTTCCGAGTTGCCTTTGGATTCCCTTTCCAGCCCTTCCCTTGGCCCCTTCTTCAATGCAGCAATGGCCAACATCTCTAGTGCAGCACTTCTGATAGTCTCTGGTTCGGATTTTGTGGAGAACATTGTCTGGGATGGCAAGCAGAAGCTGTGCTCTGCTGGTTCGCAGCCCTTTGGGGAACTTCTGAGCAAACTGGAGGAAGCAGCTGTGTCTTGGTTACTTTGAGGGCCACTGCAGGTTTTTACCTTCTTGCAGGCCTGCAGGAGGCTGGGTTTCCTTCTTCTCCCTTCCTGCTGACAGAAGCAGGATCTGGCCTGCTTACCAACTAGCTGCACCTTTTGCTTAGATCTCCTCCTTAACATCATGGTCTGTGATCTCAACTGCCACTTGACACAGGCTGTTTTCTGCTTGTTACCCTGGAGGCGGGCCCTTTTGGAACAGTGTCTTTGATGAACCTGCTGGCCTTTGCTGTGGTCGTCTTGCATGTAACGCACAATAACACGGTCTTTTCCTGATAGCTTTCTCTTAGATTCCACTGGCTGGCTGACAGAGACGTTCTCTTCTCTGCAGTTGTGTAAGGAGTTTTGCTGGGATTGTTCGGATAATTCCACTTGCACCTGAACATGCGTTCCTCCCTGCTCAGAAACATCCAGAATTTCCATGTCAGATGCTTCTGCCAACGCCAGAGACTGTGTGTTTTCTTCCTCAGTGTCCTGTAAAATGTTTCTTTCTACTGTGCTTGATGCTGTCGGTGGCTCAGTGTTTACGGGTAGCTCTCCCTGATTCTTCTCCTCAGGGTGGACGCCATTTGCAGAATTCAAAATGGCACCTTTCCCCTCAGCCCTGAGGAGCTTTTTATGGCATTTCTTGTTCAGCTGGGTTTTTTCATGTCTCTTCAGATGCCACATCTCAACAAACCCTTTCCCACACACACATTTGAAGGGCTTTTCTGCCAAGTGGGTCTTTTGATGCCTGGTGAGGTGATATTTGTAATCAAAGCGTTTCCCACATTTAAAGCATCGCCATGGTGCTTTCCTTCTGTGAGGATTCCCACGCTTCAGGGAGCGGGGATTGTCTGTGGTCACTTTTCGGTCAGCGTTTGAGCGTTTGGAGAGCTTTTTCCTCACATGGCCTCTCTGGTGGGAAGCAAGGTAGTTCTTCTGATAGAAGCTTTTTCCACACTCCAAACATTGGTAAGGCTTCTTTTTTCTCCTGTGGATTCTCTCGTGATCGACGAGCAAACTTTTTGTTCTTGTGTGCTCCCCGCAATACTGGCATTTGTAGACTTTGCCCTCCGTGTAGGTTTTTAGGTGCTTGGAAAAGCTTAAGCTACGAGCAACGCTGCGCGTGACAACGCCGTCCCTCAGGTCTGTATGGGGCTGCAGTTCTGTGTGGATTCTTTCAGATACAGAGAGGCTACTCTTCAACCTGGGCCTTCCGACAGGTTTTTGTTTTTTGTGGGTTGCCTTGTGTTGGAGAAGGTTGTCCTTTCGAGAGAAACGTTTCACACAGTAGGGGCATTTATAGGATCTCCCTCTTCTGTGGAGTTTTTTGTGGTTGGTGAGCGGACCACTTCCACTCAGGCATTTCCCACAGTACTGGCATTTATAGACCCGTTCCCCGCCTGGAGTTCTTGGGTGCTGGGAAAGGTTAAAAGCATTTGTGACTTTCCCCCCGTCCGTCAGGACTGCAGAGAGATTTTCTGCCGTGTGGAAGATTCTGGAAGGAGAGGGGGTATAGTTGGCGTTCATTCTCACGGGGCGCTCGCAGGCTGCCTTCCTCCAGTGGGTCGCCTCATGCTGGAGAAAACTGTACTTATGAAGGAAGCTTTTCTGACACTGGGAACATTTGTAGGGCATCTCTTCCCTGTGGATTCTCTCGTGATCAACGAGCAAACTTTTGGTCCGCATACATCTCCCACAAAACTGGCACTTGTAGAGATTTTGGGGCGTCCCCTGCTGTCTATCAGTGCCAAGGCCCGATAAGAAAGTTCCCTCAGAGGCTGCAGGAGGTCTCTTCTCAGGAAAAATGGCCGCCCTCTCTTCTCTCTCTCCCTTGGGAGGGCTGCCCTCCTTCTCCCTCGCATGGATTTTCTGGTGTCTGTCAAGGTGCTCCTTTCGGGTGAAGGCTTTCTCACATTCGGGGCATCGATAGGGCCGCTCTGCCGCATGGCTATTCAGGTGCGCTGTCAGGGTGCGCTTCCGCTGGAAGCACATCCCACACTCGGAGCATTTAAAAGGCCTTTCTCGCAAGTAGGCCTTTGGGTGCTTCCTTGGGCTGGGGTGTTTATAACCCCTTTCTTCTGCGTGGCCTCTCTGGTGACTGGCAAAGGCCTTTTTGGCTGTGAACCTTTCCCCACAGGAAGAACATTTATAGGGGCACTCGCCAGAATGAGTTTTCTGGTGACTGAGGAGGGATGCTTTTGTTTTGAAGGCCTGGCCGCAGTCCGGGCAGGTCCTCTGAGGCTCCCGTCTAGAAGCCTTCTTTTTGGCTGTGTATGGAGCAACGTCGCCGACTTCTGTCACGCTACACTTTATTTTCCCCAGCTGGGCTCGCGGGGGCTTCTTCGGCTGAGGCCTCTTCTTGGAGGCTTCCGTTTGCTTCACGCCCTGGCATCCATTCCCCTTGAAGATATCCAGTATGCTTCTACGAAGGATCGTCAGCTTGCGACCTCCACGTGGCCGTTTCTGTTCTTCAGCTTCACTTTCCTGCTCATCCTCTGCAGGGAACAGAAGGGAGAAGGATATACAAAAATGGGATCGTTATGAGAGCAGAGAAAAAGCCAGCCAGGCCAACAGCTGCCGCCACATCTCATGGCAGTCAATTTCACAAATTATGCACTGCGTGAAATAATTTTGTGCGTCTCGATGACAACCAATTCCGTTGGGGGTCCCACGGATAAACACACTATGTTCTAGTAAGGGGAGTGGGGAGAAAACACTTGCTATTTACTTCCTTTACCCGCAGGCAGGAGGCCTGAAAAATCTCTAAAACTGCTCTTTACTCCATCCAATCAAGAGTTCTTTCCTCCCTCCATTTCTGACTTATTCTTCCTGGCCTTTAAAATGCTTCTTCCCTTCTTTCTATGTAATTTGCAGAAAAGGCAATATTTTATTTGGTGAAAATATTTTTTAATTTTGCTTTCTTCTTTGGGGAGGAGAAGAAGCAGATGTCTGAGAACAAACGGGTATGTTGCGAAACATATGGCAGTGTGGCATAATGGTTAGAGTGTTGGGCTATGACCTGGGAGAGCAGGGTTCGAATCCCCAGTCAGTCAGGAAGCTCGCTGGATGACCTTGGGCCAGTCACCATCTCTTAGCCTAACCCAACCTCACAGGGTTATTGTGAGGATAAAACGGGGAAGGGAACCATGAGCTCCTTGGAAGATAAAGGTGGTATATAAATGCAATTAATTAATGAATATGTGCATGTTTGTACAGAAAGGAATTACTTTCACTTGCTATCCAAAACAGTATCTGTATTGGTCTCTTGCACGAAAAATAAAAAATAAAAATCCTCAGTATACTTATTTGAGAGTAGCCCTGCCAGATCCAGTGAGTTGCATTCAATGTGATATTAAGACAGGGCACAAGGATTTCCGCTAGCAGGAAATCCCCTTCCCCTCCCCGCATGTCCCCTATGTCTGTTCTAGGGGTACCGGGGCCCCCCAAACACTCCAGAGTAGACTTGGGAAGGAGCACATGCAGGTCAAGGAAAGGGAGGAAGCCCCACCGTGCCAGCAGTAATGTTTATGTTAACAGAATGAGCAAGTGGGATACTTGAAAAACAAACAAGGACACAGGAACATAGACTAAGAATTACCATAATCTATCTGGAAAAAGTTTATAAAAATGATGCATGGTTGGGAGAAAGTGGATAGGACAAAGTCCTGCCCCCTCCGGCCCAGGGCCGAATATAGGTTTGATGAGGCCCTAAGCTACTGAAGGTAATGGGGCCCTTTATATGTCCAGCTCTCCTTTGTCAACAACAAATTGTCACTGTTTTTTGTGTTGAATATGTGCTATTGGTTAATTTATAGACCTAATAGGTATCTAAAACCATTTGTACATGTTGCCATGCAACCAGTCCATGCAGAATGTAGGCACCCTATATATAGAAATGAGCAAACCAGTGATATTTTAGGGAGCAGGCTAGCATGTGGGGCCCATTACTTACATCATAGGAGCCTACGCAACACAAAACACTGTTGCTGTATGTAGGTTTTCTTTTATTTGTTTTTTATCTTATATTTTGGAAATGTACATCCAGTTTTTTCCCCCTTTAATTTTTTTGGGGGGGCCCAAGAGAGTGGGGCCCTAAGCTATAGCTTGTTTAGCTTATATGTAAATCTGGCATGGGACGCAAGAGAAGTGCCTCTTTAGGACTCGCCATATTTTCATGGTTGTACATTGCTTTAAACTGTTTCCATCAACATGGTGCTTAAATGGTTGTAACATGCCCCAGGAAGGCTGGATAATAAGTTGAAATAATAAAATCCATCCATGCCCCCTTAGGAAGAAATGGTGGGATTTGGAGCATGGCCAAATGGTGGTGGCCTCCCCTTCCTTGGAGGTTTTTAAGCAGAGGTCGGGTGGCCGTCTGCCATGGATGCTTTAGCTGAGATTCCTGCATTGCAGGGGTCAGACTGGATGACCCTCGGGGTCCCCTTCCAAATTGACAGTTCTGGGATTCTATGGTGTTCCATAGGAGCTGTCTAAACAAAGGGCTTCCCTACACCAGGGGTCAGCAACCTTTTTCAGCCGTGGGCCAGTCCACCATCCCTCAGACCATCTGGTGGGCCGGACTATATTGGGGGGTGGTGAATGAATTCCTATGCCCCACAAATAACCCAGAGATGCCTTTTAAATAAAAGCACACATTCTACTCATGTAAAAACACGCTGATTACTGGACCGTCCGCGGGCCAGATTGAGAAGGGGATTGGGCCACATCCGGCCCCTGGGCCTTAGGTTGCCTACCCCTGCTCTAGACAATCCTGACCTGAGCTTTCGGATGTACTGTTGTATTTCACCGGGCTTCTGTACAGATCCCACCACATCCCTGCCTTCGGCCATCGCTTCAGCGTCGGTTTCACCGGGCCTTCCTCTGCACTCTCCTCAGAGCTCTGGAGATCTGGGACCCAAGCGTCTTCCCCTCGATCCAGCCGGCTGAGCAGTTCGGAGCCTTGGGCAGGGAACGTGCCTGAGGTGGGCACAAAGAGGAAGACAGAGTTGAGCAGAGTACATGAGAAAGAGAGAGAGAGAGAGAGAGCGCGCGCAAGGGGATCTTGGGTGAAGGGCAAATAAAATACAGCGGTACCTTGGGTTAAGAACTTAATTCGTTCCAAAGATCCGTTCTTAACCTGAAACTGTTCTTAACCTGAAGCACCACTTTAGCTAATGGGGGCCTCCTGCTGCCGCTGCGCCACCGGAGCACGATTTCTGTTCTCATCCTGAAGCAAAGTTCTTAACCTGAAGTACTATTTCTGGGTTAGCAGAGTCTGTAACCTGAAGCGTCTGTAACCTGAAGCATCTGTAACCCGAGGTACCACTGTACGAAGTCGGACAGCAGCTCTACGGACCTGACTGCAGCCACTGCCTGAGGGACCTCCATCTCCCCTCCACCTGCTGCATCTGTGGCCTCTACTGGCTCTCCAGACCAGGACCTGCTTGCACTTGCGAAAGCAGGGCAGGGACCAGGACCCTGGGCAGGCAAACAGCACTGGAAACACCTGAAGCCCCAGCTAGGTGTGCATCAGTTGCTGGGGAAGCTCTATAAAGCCTGCAAACCCTGGCAGCAGGAACATCCCTTTGATGGTGGAACAAGGGTGTTGTAATAATACAACAAAACAACAACACCACAAACTGGCTTATAAGTATAAAACCAAATTTACTAGAATAATAGCTAGAATAGAGATAGACTTATAACCATTCAAACAACAGCCATTCTAAGGTGCCATGTGCAAAACAAAGCCTGGAGATACTGTAAACATGGAGTGGATAAATGTACAACTCTATCTTAACAAGGGACGCGGGTGGCGCTGTGGGTTAAACCACAGAGCCTAGGGCTTGCCGATCAGAAGGTAGGCGGTTCAAATCCCTGTGACGGGGTGAGCTCCCGTTGTTCGGTCCCTGCTCCTGCCAACCTAGCAGTTCGAAAGCACGTAAAAGTGCAAGTAGATAAATAGGTACCGCTCCGGCGGGAAGGTAAACGGCGTTTCCGTGCACTGCTCTGGTTCGCCAGAAGTGGCTTAATCTTGCTGGCCACATGACTCGGAAGCTGTACACCGGCTCCCTCGGCCAATAAAGCAAGATGAGCGTCGCAAGCCCAGAGTTGGCCACGACTGGACCTAATGGTCAGAGGTCCCTTTACCTTTTTATCTTAACAAGTTACATGTGCAGTAAACGTTATACAGACTGGATAAATGAACCGTTCAACAAGTAGCGTAACTCCAATCACAGAACGGCAACCCCGTGCCGCCACAACGGCAAGGGTAGCACACTGGAGAATATGAAAACGTTTTTCAACGCTGTTTTTCAAAGATTGAACTGGATGAGATGTTCTTCAATGAGTCTTGAGTTGGAAACACAAAGCCGTATGCATGTTGTATTACTATTACTGTCACCACATTTGATACTTGGTGTATATACAGAACAAGGGTGCTGGCCAGGCCCCTATGGTTTTAATGGGGATGGGGTTTTCGCTTGGGTGAGTGTTGTTTATTTGGGGTGGGGCTGTTTCAAATTGGATTTCAGGTCTTTCCCAGCCCCTACCCTGGACACATTGGGACAATGCCAGCTCCAGATTTTGGCAGTCTCTTGGGCAAGACTCCCTCCATGGGCTGCAGCCGCAGGGCTAGAGAACTCTTGTCGATGTTGACATTTCCATTCCACCTTAAGGAGGAGACGTGTGGAACTGTTGTGTGTCACATGTCTGTTTACATTCCAGCACAGCTTGTTGGGAACTTCCGTCGTGTATAGCTTTTGCTTTTTCCTGTTCTCTCTGAGATGATGAGAGAGAGAGAGAGAGATGTTTCTTTGTCCTGATTTATGATTAATAAATCTGTAGTTGTAGTATGCTTCCACAAGCCTCACACCTATTCTGTGTGCGCAGTTTGATCTGCTGATAGTGTGCCCTGGCTCAGAAGCCCGGGTCGCTGATTTACGTTGGAGCTGAGGTGATGGTCTTCGCAGCGGGACAGCTGGAAGGAGACAGCCCAGCAAGGGCTAGCCAGCTGGCCTCCCGTCCCTCTGCATGCTATCAGTGGGGTGGGGCCCCTCAGCAGCTGCCAACCTGTGATGCCAGCCCTGCGCCAGCAGGAACTAATTCTGGGATCTTTCATGTGCCAGCAACAAACTCTGTGGCTGAGCGACTGCAGGTTTCGCCTACAGGCGAGAGGAAACATGTTCAACAACCTCAAACTCCTGAACAATTTGAGAGACGAGCCAGTGACTCGTGCCGCCATTATTTAATCTGAAGCGGACTGATTTTGTGACATATATTTGTTAAAGAATCCTTACCGAGGGAGGCCATAGAGCTACAGCTCTCCTGCATGGCGTTCCTGCACAAGGCTCTCTGGCGACGGCCTGCAAGCAGACACGGCCCTTCGCTGGAGTGTACGGTCACCTCTACCAAGGCTTCAGGTACCTGGAACAGCAGGAATGAAAAAAAAGAAAGACCCTCACTCAGAGTCTGCAGTGATAGCTCATGAGAGACAGTGTTGTGTAGTGGTTAGGGCAAGGTTCGGGGTGGGTGGGGAAATGGGTTCAAACCCTCATGTGGCCATGAAGCTCTTGGGCAATTGTGGTAGCAAAGGTATCGGTGGATCTTAAACTTATACAACAGAAAATAATATTTAGACTCCATTACATTTACATAGAAAAGGACAGTCAAATGCAACTCTTTGTTGGAGATGTGATAAGGATAATGCCTCTTTGAAACAGATGTTCTTACAGTGTCCTGCTCTCACTAAGTTTTGGGAGAAAGTGTTAAACTGTATAAATTTGATAGTACAGAAAATTTTAAAAAAATTCAGAGGAAAGTATTATTTTGAATTATATACCTATTATATGGAAGTAGACAACTGAACAATGAAAATGGATTCTGTGTGCCCTAACTACAACCCACAGACTGGTAATTGATAAACTGGAAGAACAAAAATATGCTCCCCTTTAATAATCAATGGACTGAAGACATGACAGCACTCACAACATATGAGCGGCTTGCTTATTGAGGCACACTTTGTCTGGATAAATATATTGATATGTGAAATGAGTTTATACAGATCACAGTAGATTATTAAGAATCATAAATATATATATATATTTATATATGCACATACATGCATATATTACTTTTTCACTTCATTTTGTATAACTGAAAAAAACTTAAAATATTTAAAAAACAGATAATGCCAGGGTAATACTTCAAGATTAAATAACATTAAATAACATAATGTAATAATAATTACAGGACACACTTGTTCTTAAACTGTACCACATATATTTTTATTGGCTCAGGTAAAGATGCATACAGCATTTCTTTTAACAAAACTCCTTGGCTTTTGCCAAAGGCAACGCTGTTTCTCAACTGCAGGAGTGTAATACAACAAGTGTGGTCTGGAAATCTGCGTGATCTGCAGTAGATCAGCAAAGATTCTGACTCCCTCTTTTTTATATATAACAATAGCAAACAACAAAAAGTCTCATTCCCCCTTCTGAATTATGCTACCAAGATTTTTAAAATCTTTGGGGGTGGGGGAGCACAGGAGTAGATCTTAATGTGAGAGAACTCAGAGCTGAAGAATCATAGAATCATAGAATCATAGAGTTGGAAGAGACCACAAGGGCCATCGAGTCCAACCCCCTGCCAAGCAGGAAACACCATCAGAAGACCGCTCTCAATTTAGGGGAAAAGACAGTGAAGTACAGAACATGTAACCAACCTTCAGAGTGGTAATGGGGAGTCAGCCCAGCCTACTTTTCAGGGCTGTTGTGAGAATGAAATGGCACAGGGTGGGAGAAAGCCAGGTTAGATTTAGAATGCAGCCATAACCAAACCAAGAACTCATTAGGTGGCCATAGGAAAAAGCATTGTTTGCTCAGCATCAATCCCTTAACTTCAGAATATGGCAGATCACGCTGGCCCATCTTAAAGGAACATGGCATGAAGCATTTTAGTACCTCAGATACAATACAGTGCTGCTCTTCCCCTTAACACCTGAATCCATTTTGACCTGATGCACTCTTGGCCTGGCCCCCACCCCCACTGTCACCACACCTGTCCCCAGGGCAAACTTTCTCTCTCCCCCCATCTTTCACCCGCCCCACCAGAAACCCCCAAATCTCCCCTACTTGAGCCATCTTCGCCATTTCTCTTCCTCCGTCAGGAGTTTGGGATGATCCCGAATCAAGCAAGAGCTGGCTGAGTCGAAAAAAGATTCTTTTCTTCTCCGCAGCCTGTGGAGAAGCAAGAAGGATATTTTCAGAAAAGGCTTTCCTCCCTTGATGGTTCCAAGTGAGGAGACCCCGCAAGTCAGATTTCTATCCCTCCATACCCTAAAATCTTGCTGGCTCAGGGTGCTGGTTATAATAATAATAATATTATAGCCAAGTGAAGTCCTTTGAAGATGCTTTTTTGCATCTCAAGACCCAACTAAAAGGCATCAGTTAAAATCTACAAAATCTACAAAATCTACAAAAAGCTACAAATCCAAATGCTTCCCTTTCCACACCCCCTCTCCCTTCAGACTCACCCTCCCGATTTTCACCCATAAGAACGCCCTCCTAAATTGAACTAATTGATCTGGGCAGAGTTAGAATCATAGAATTGTAGGGTTTGAGTGAACACTTACAATTAAGGGGGAAAGTGTATAAATTACGGAGCAATAATTGGGAAAACTACCCAAAAAATTGCAAGATGTAATTTGGAATGATATGGTATAAAAAGGATAAGAACAGAAGAATATTTAGTTGAAAGGTTTTTTTAATTAAGGTAAACAAAATAAGTAGAAGGAGCGAACTTTTAAAGAACCAGAAGAGGAGGTTGGGGGAAGTCAAGACTTGGATTTATTTATTTTATTATTGTGTTTATGATGATTGGGCTGAATATAAAATTGTAAAACCTAATAAAAATTACTTTAAAAAAGAATCATGGAGTTGGAAGGGACCCCACAGGAATCTCAGCTGAAGCATCCATGACAGATGGCCACCCAACCGCTGCTCAGAGAAGTTGGAGAGTCTCCTCCTTCTCTTTCTCTTTCTCTTTCTGCCTTTCGGTTTCCTTCTGGTTCCCATTATGGCCCCCGCCATCAGAGTCACGGGCTCTCCCCTTCCTGGTTCGCTTACCTGGAGCCTCCAAACTCAGCTCAGGGACTCCCTGGCTCCAAGAGAAGTGGATCCACTTTCCAAGACGGATGGAGATCTTCTCCAAATTCCCAGCGATGGTGCGGGAGAGCTGCAGTTTCTTTCATCCATGCCTCCTTCCCCAGGAGAGCGAAGTCCCGGAAGCAAGAGCGTCTGACCCAACAGTCCCAGGATGGCGGGGAAAGGAGGAGACAAGAAAAAAACTCTCCCTCGCCCTCAAATGGCCAACTGAGGTTGCCATCTTTCCCTTCCGAGAACTGCGCCTGTGC